CTGTGCTTCCACTCCCTCCCCACTCTTGACTCTTTTCCTCCCGCCGGTGAGCTGGGGTGAGGAGAGTGCTTGGGTCCCGCCGGGTCACGGCTTTGTGTCTAACGCTTTTCCATCAGATGTTGAGTTCTCACCGATATAGATGTAGCCTGGGTGGTGTACTGTATCTTCTATTCACTCTTTAGGTATAGTTGTATTTGCTATATTTTCAAAAATATATATGGTTTTGGGAGGAGTTTTCTGCTGCCCTACTCACACCGCCATCTTGAGTAATCTCCCTTTAAGACTTCTAAAGTGTCTGCTTTTCTTTTGTCCCAGGGCAGCTGACTGTGGGAACCTGTTCACAGTCTCAATCTCTGACCTTGCTTTTCTCCTCCTCCAGTATCCAGTGCACCATGCAGTGTGTGTCTGTGCTCCCAGGGCATATCACCAGGGCTGGTTATTTAGCAGTCCTGTGCTTCCACTCCCTCCCCACTCTGATTCCCTTCCTCCTGCCGGTGAGCTGGGGTGGGGAGAGTGCTCGGATCCTGCAGGGTCACGGGTTTGTAACCTACCCTTTTCTGTCAGATGTTGGGATTTCACATATGTAGCCTGGCTCGTGTACCGTATCTTCCAGTCACTCTTAGGAATAGTTGTTCATTGTATTTTCAAAATATATATGGTCTTCAGAGGAGATTTCCGCCACCCTACTCACACTGCCATCTTGAGAATCCTGGCTGAGTTGTGTTTTCTGCATTATGTAGATGGCTGAATTCTCTTTACCTGGTATTATTCTTTTGATGAGCCATATCAAGATCTCTCTACATAGATGATCCCTCTTTACTTCTATCTCAACCTTCCCATGGAGAACTAAGGTCAGAGCCAGGCAAGAGGTACTCTTAACTGGAAATATTTTCCTGGGCTTGTCTTGGCTATAATCCATCAAGGGGAAGGCTAGGTGCCCAAGTAACCATGGACTATGCTGCAGAGTGTGGTAATAAGCCAGGAGATTTTCACCTTGACAGTTTTGGAATGAAAGTAACTGGGAAAAATTATATGCTACAAAATTTTTTTCGTTAAGGAAGGCTCTGGTCAGTTAATGTATAAAAGAATAACCTGTAAAATGTTTTTTAGTGAAAAGGGTTGATAATAGGCTTTCATAGATCATCGTACACAATTTTTGAAAACTCTCTGACTTCAAAGTTCCATCATCCAAACTGAGAATATTAGATATTTTTTAGTCATGCTGCCTTACGGAAATACTGAGATCTACTCACTATGATTGTCAATAAATGACAGCTAAGAGAATAAAGTGCATTTAAATAGATTGTAGAAACTTCATTACAGAGACTTGTCATTAAATTCAAAGAGTATTTTAAAAATAGTCAAATCTTAAAACCAAAAAGGAATAATTAAAGGGGAAGAGAAATTTCTTGAACTCCCTCCCCACTCTGATTCCCTTCCTCCTGCCGGTGAGCTGGGGTGGGGAGAGTGCTCGGATCCTGCAGGGTCACGGGTTTGTAACCTACCCTTTTCTGTCAGATGTTGGGATTTCACATATGTAGCCTGGCTCGTGTACCGTATCTTCCAGTCACTCTTAGGAATAGTTGTTCATTGTATTTTCAAAATATATATGGTCTTCAGAGGAGATTTCCGCCACCCTACTCACACTGCCATCTTGAGAATCCTGGCTGAGTTGTGTTTTCTGCATTATGTAGATGGCTGAATTCTCTTTACCTGGTATTATTCTTTTGATGAGCCATATCAAGATCTCTCTACATAGATGATCCCTCTTTACTTCTATCTCAACCTTCCCATGGAGAACTAAGGTCAGAGCCAGGCAAGAGGTACTCTTAACTGGAAATATTTTCCTGGGCTTGTCTTGGCTATAATCCATCAAGGGGAAGGCTAGGTGCCCAAGTAACCATGGACTATGCTGCAGAGTGTGGTAATAAGCCAGGAGATTTTCACCTTGACAGTTTTGGAATGAAAGTAACTGGGAAAAATTATATGCTACAAAATTTTTTTCGTTAAGGAAGGCTCTGGTCAGTTAATGTATAAAAGAATAACCTGTAAAATGTTTTTTAGTGAAAAGGGTTGATAATAGGCTTTCATAGATCATCGTACACAATTTTTGAAAACTCTCTGACTTCAAAGTTCCATCATCCAAACTGAGAATATTAGATATTTTTTAGTCATGCTGCCTTACGGAAATACTGAGATCTACTGACTATGATTGTCAATAAATGACAGCTAAGAGAATAAAGTGCATTTAAATAGATTGTAGAAACTTCATTACAGAGACTTGTCATTAAATTCAAAGAGTATTTTAAAAATAGTCAAATCTTAAAACCAAAAAGGAATAATTAAAGGGGAAGAGAAATTTCTTGAAGAAATAAAATACATAGAAAAGGAATTTGAATAGATTAGACACAGATTACAAAAATGAACAAATGAAGGAATCTTAATGCTATATGAGCAAAATGATTCTTGTAACTGAAGATTTTTAAAATAGCATTTATTATAGCCTTTTTCTGACTACAAAAGTAATGTTATTTGAGGATAATTTAAAATTACCAAGTAAACAAGTGTGTATTTTATTCTGACACAACAACAATATTATACCCAGCAGTATAACTCCTTTCAGGTTACAGTTCCAGTGTGTGTATGTGCAGGGGGGCTGGGGAGGAGGTTTCCTACATTCACACCACTGAGCAATTCTTGCACACTGGGGTGTCCAAGAACTCAACTCAATTCTGATGCTGTCTGCCCAGAGACATCACTGGATTACCCAGGTTAAGGGCTCCGTCCTGTAAGACTGTCCTCCACCCCCAACTCCAGATGCCAGTCACAAGCCCTAGGCAGTTACCTGTGCTTCTGACCAACTGATGTGTAGCTCCAGAAGAAGTGTAATCCCAGAGTGGGGCAAATAAACTGGGTTGACCGAAATCAGTCTAAGGAAAGGCTAGACTGGGAGAAACCCATTTATTGCTCACAGTGAGGCCCAGCTGTGTTCTACCCCTCTGGCCACTGCTCTCTCCCCGTCTCTCCTGCCACAGTGCACACCCACCTCACTGCCCACCCCTTCCAGGAGAAACTCTGAGGGCAGATCCCTAGAGACTAACAGGTGCCAGACCCATTACTCAACAGAGGGGAGGAAAGAATAGCCTCTCTCTATCCCTTGTCCCAGAAGCTGCAGGAAGAAACACCTATTGATATGTAAATGGACTAAGGCCAGACTAGAGGTTCTGGAAATACTGCAGCTTTACCCACAAGGCTACAAATTGGAGGTTCCCACAATCTGTTAACCTTGGGTTGGATAATTTGTTAGAGTGGCTCACAAAACTCAGGAATACATTTGTTTACCAGTTTAATAAAGGATACCTTAAGGGATACAAATTAACAGCCAGATTAAGAGAGAGACATAGGGTAAGATCCCAAATAAAGGAGCCTTTATTCTAGTGGAGCTTGGGGCCTGGCTCATTGGCACGTGGGAGCATTCTAGTTCCCCAAGCGTGGAAGCTCTCCAACAGAGAGGCAAGGTAGACCCAAGAGAGCCTGTTTTTGTGGGGGTTGCATTGCATAGTCATGAGTGACTAAATCACTGGCCATTGACTGATTCAACCTCCAGCCCCTGCCCTTAGGTGGGATCCGAAAGTCTCTCATTGACAAGACACCCATCTCACTTTTAAGGCTCTGAAGTGTTTTCAAGAGCTGTGGATGAAAGACCAGATATACGGAGGAATATATATTTGGTCATCTGAATGACCAAAGTATTATAACTCATTATATCACACAAGTCTACTAATAAAAATTATTGGCTCTGATCATTTTCAAGTTTGTCAATTTTCATAGTGAGCTATAGTGTCATTCATGAATATTTAGGGTACTAACTTGATCCTTGTGAAGCAGTAGAATGGAAACTACGATTTTCAGTCAGGAAACCTTGGTTGATGCCTTTTTTTATCACCTACTAATTCTGTGTCCTCAAACAAATTAACTTACCTCTCAGAACTTGTTTTAGTTCCTGTAAAACCAAGACAAAGACCCTGCCATCACAGAGGTCATATTCCAATGGACAAAGATAGGCAACAATAAAAAAAGTTAAAAATATAATTAAAATTAATTTTAGGTAGTGAAAAGTGTAATGACAAAAAAACGCAGAGCAAAAGAAGAGAGTGGCATTGCAGGGGCAGGTAGTATTGTAGATGAGGATGATTAAGGAATATTTCTCTGAGGAAAGACATTTGAGCAGAGGGCTTACTATGGAGTAGAACAGCTAGCCTTTGGAGGCATGCAAAGAGATGACATTCCAGCAAGAGAAAAGAGCAAGTGCAAAGTCAAACTAGAAAATTGGTCATAGGAGAAACCACAAGTAAATCCCTTTTTGAATGAGGCCAGTGCCAGATCATGGATGGTCTTGTAGGCCAAGTAAGGAGAGTGTGGCCCATTCCAGTTGAGCTCTGTGAGAACTGGGTTCATATATTACTCATGTTTGTATTTATTCCCAGTACCCTTGACAATAAGAACTCAATAACTTGAATTTATGACTATATGAATTGCATATATAGAGAGGAAAACAATTGCCACCCTCTTTAAATTGAGTTTGGATGAAATAGCCAAGACTTAAAGAGGTTGCATCTTGGATTACTTAGAGATTCCTCATAGTATTAATATACTTATTTGTAAGCAGAGACTGAATATTAATGTATGTGCTATTATGCTTGGCATGCTTCTGGGTGTATATGAAAGCATTTAATGTTTTCTAAATGCAGAGTTTGTCATAAGTGCCACTTTGTTAAAATTTAGGAAGGAAAATGGGACTCATTGATAACTACAATGTTAGCAATTTTTTAAACACGTTTTAGAGATTGTCTCTAATTTCTGTAATTTCACAATAAAGTGCTTATTGTGACAGTAATACACTGTGACAGTAATCTCCCATCTATTTCATGGGCTCAAGTATGTTGAATCTTTTGCTATTTGAAGCTCATTTGATTATTCTTTGCTTTGTTATGTTGTAGCCTCGAACTGTGGCAGGCTTTCGAGGGACAGTTCGTTATGCATCAGTCAATGCTCACCGGAACAGGGTAGGTATCTGAACTAGAGTCATATCTGTATAAGCATACTGGTAGCTTGAATCCGACTGACTTCTTTATATTAGAGTACATGTGTGGAAAATGCTTAGAGCAGAGGGAAAGTTGTGTTAGTAATACTAACACATGGTAAGTAGTATAGGGGATAGTAGATGTCTGCAGCTGCATAGAAAACAAAATTTGATTTTTTAGAAAAGATAATATAGCTAAGTATATATGGGGAATCTTGTGTCCTTAATTAGGTATAAATATTAACAAATTTAACATAGAATTCTGAAGAAATTAAACATCTATGTTCTATTTCAAGAAGCTTTTTTGGGAACATCATACTATCAATATCTAAAGAAATGTAGAGGTCATCATTTTATCTGTAATATGCCTCTAATCTTTGATACCCCTCTCCATTAATCCTTTTGTTTTCATGAAGCTCTCAAGTACAGGAAACTTAAAAACTTTCATCTTTGTTAATTATACCCTTCCTCTTAGGTTAAATTTATTAAATTTCTATTCTTTTTACTTTGTTCCTTTTTTTCCTCATCCTGAACCTTAATTATGAATACAAAAGGTATTTTATGGATTATCAATCTTTGAACTTGTTTGGATGGAATTGAGAAATTTAACAAGTGACTGACTCCATGATAAAATAAAGAGAAATCTTTTCCTGATATTTGGTTACTTTATTCTTATTCTCTGAAGCCAAAATTGCTTTAAAAAAATTTGACCAAGAATAAATATAACAGGAAGAGTATGCTGTGGCTTTTATAGGCTATGCTCCGGTTAATTTGGTTTCTTATCATGTGATATAAATTGAAAAAAGGAAAATATTTTTATCAGTGTGTAGCACTCTGCCAAGCATCTTAGCTCATTTGGTTTGATTGAGTTTTGCTTTATTTTATGCTGTCCAGTCAATTATTCTGCCTTGAAAAGAAAGCACTCTTATTTTTCAGGTAGTCCTAAAGAATTTTAGAAGTGGAGGCTTCTAATTAATTCTATGAAAGAATTATGTCAACATTAGAATCTTTGAAATATGATATTCTTTTTTAGATTAGTATAAATATTTTTAGAGATCATAGTAGCTATATAGGATTGCCAATATAGCTACTAGAGATTACTTGTTTTTATTTTTTAAAATTTGAAGAGTAGAGATTTCTTCTAAAAGCCTTTCAAAATAGAGTGCTCTACTCTGTAACCTGCTTACTACTTGTTATTCATCTAACTTTGGTAGAGAAATTTGATAGTGTATAGCAGTGGTTCATCCCCTTATTTTCTGCCCCCCCAGCACACCTGAGCAGTGGAATGCTTTACAGGGACACAGCTTCGCAACAATGATTGTCAGTTTGTGGTAACACAAGATTGCAGCTGGTGGAAACTTTAGAGGTGCTTGTCTAATTTAAAAGATTTTCCAAATAATTCTAATATACTTATATACTTTCTTCCATATTCACTGATCCTGATTTGATCATTTATAAATGTAACATACTCCATGGGTTTTTTTTTTAACCTTAATCTTAAACTTTTAACATGAGTAATTCCCAAACAATAAAAGGACTTTTCAGAACATTTGAACTGTTGACTTCATTTCATTGTTGTCTTGCATTTTAGTCCTTTGTTAGTATTTGCTTTATCTCAATACTTTGAGAAAATTACTTTACTTTCTTCTGGTTCTGTGGTTGCTATTGAGGAGATCTTTCTGCATTTAAATGTTACTTTATATTTAAATTGACATTTTTCTTTGGCTACTTTTAATACCTTCTGTCATTGGTGTCCTGAAGATATTCAAATGTGCCTAGTGTAGATGTCTTTATATTTATTCTGTTTGGGATTTATTGTGCTACCTAAACCTGAATGTTCATGTCTTTCATTGATTCTGGAAAATTTGCAGATACTACTTCTTTAAATATTGCCTCTTTCCCTTTTTCTCTGTACCTTTTCCTCATCTCCAAATTGATGTGTGTTAGACTTTCTTCCATGCCTCTTAAATTCACTCTTTGCCTTTGTGTTACATTCTAGGTAGTTTCTTCAGATTTGTCTTCCAGTTCATTAATTCTTTTTTTCAGCTGTGTTTTTAACCTTTCCATTGAATTTTAATTTTTATAGTTGTGCTTTTTATTTCTAGATGTTCTTTTAGGTCCTTTTTCAAAGCTCATTGGTCTTCTAAGTTTTTTGGATGGAATATGCCTCCTTTCTCATAATTTTGATTCCATTTTTTGTTTAACCATTTTAAACAGGGGAGGGGTGAAATATGTGAAAGGGATAGAAAGGCATAAAATTTCAATCATAATATAAATTAGTCATAGGGATGAAAGTACAGCATAGAGAATATAGCCAATGATTCTGTAACATCATTCTATGTTGACAGATAGTAACTACACTAGTTGAGGTAAGGATTTAATAGTGTATATAACTATTGAATCACTATGTTGTATACTTGAAACCAGTATAATATTGTGTATCAACTATACTTCAATAAAAAAATTAAAAATAAACACATTTTAAACAGTCTTATTTCATATTTTATATCCTATAATTCCACTTTTGAAATTGTTGGATATCTAACTCTATTTATAGTTTCTCTTAATATTAGCTATGGTAGCCCAATCCTAATATATTTATAATTTCAAATAATGAGCTTATATTTGTTGGGGCTTAATCTATAGGACTTCTATGAGGCCTGAATTTAAGGATGCTTTTATCTCAAGAGCATTTTCATTTGTATCTGTCATTATTGCATGACAGGATCACCAGAAAACAATTTCTGGGCTAAGTTTCCCACACCATGCAAGCAGTATAATTTTTTTGTTTTATATTTGAAATGTACAATCAAGGTTTACATAGTAAGACCTCAAATTTCACAAATGTATCATCACATTTTATAATACCAGTTGTCAATATTTATTTAGAATTTAAATTTATTAAATACTTTTTAAAGCTATATACAAATTTTAGATAAAACTTTTGTTCATTTAGTGAGGATAGAAACAAATTCCTTCTCAACTTTTACTCTTAGGGTATGTTTCACAAGCAGTATACATTTAAATGCCAAATCTGATTGAGAGGCAGACCTGTACTAACAAAATCTCAGGACAAATTTTTTTTAACCATTTACTTTATTTGTCTCTTGATAGTGGTTACATTATACAGAAAATAATTATTTACAGAAAAAGATTCCATTTTGCAATTATATGACGTGCATACCAAATTTTGTACCAAAGGTAGCCTTGTGAGGGTCCTTGTTGTATGGTGAGGCCCAGGGTTGGGAGAGAGTGTTTCAGTTACCCCAGTTAGGATGGCCACCATCCAAAAGACATCAATTGTTGGCAAGGATGTGGAGAAAGGGGAACCCTCCTACACTGCTGGTGGGAATGTAAATTAGTTCAACTATTGTGGAAAGCAGTATGGAGGTTCCTCAAAAAACTAAAAATAGAAATAGTATTTGACCTAGGAATTCCACTCCTAGGAATTTACCCTAAGAATGCAGCAGCCCAGTTTCAAAAAGACATATGCACCCCTATGTTTATCGTACCACTATTTACAATAGCCAAGATATGGAAGCAACCTAAGTGTCCATCAGTAGATGAATGGATAAAGAAGATGTGGTACATATACACAATGGAATATTATTCAGCCATAAGAAGAAAACAAATCCTACCATTTGCAACAACATGGATGGAGCTAGAGGGTACTATGCTCAGTGAAATAAGCCAGGCAGAGAAAGACACGTATCAAATGATGGACTAACAGTTACCAAAGGGAAAGGGACTGGGGAGGATGGATGGGAAGGGAGGGATAAGGGGAAAAAGGGGCATTATGATTAGCACAACACACATAATGTAGGGGCAGGGCACAGGGAAGGCAGTATAACCAGAGAAGACAAGTAGTGATTCTATAGCATTTTACTACATTGATGGACAGTGTCTGTAATGGGGTATGAGTGGGGACTTGATAATGCGGGGAATCTGGTAACCATAATGTTGCTCATGTAATTGTACATTAATGATGAAAAAAAAAAAACACACTAGATTTACCATTTTAACCATGCTTAAGTATACAATTCATTGGTGTATTGTATAAATATTTCATTATGCAGTGGATTTCTAGAACTTACTCATTTTGCAACACTGAAACTATATACCCATTAAACACTAATTCCTCCTCCTTTGCCTCAGCCTTTGACAAGCTCCAGTCCCTTAATTCTTTATGAAGTCATTTATTAATGGGCTGTTAATTATATTATTTCCAACATTTCTTGGTTTTGGGCTGTTCCTTGTATCAAAAAGTTTTTTAGTATATCTGTTCTGCCATTTAGATTGCTATATTGCTATGTAGATACACACATATATTTAGTAGATAATTTTATGTAAATACATTAAAATTTTTAAGCCTAATAAGATGAAACAATGATTAAACCTTAGACAATGTAATATACTCACTGCAGGTGGCAATGTAATGTGATTGAATTCTGTTTTGCTTATGAAGGAAATGGGAAGACATGATGACCTTTGGTCCTTATTCTACATGTTGGTGGAGTTTGTGGTTGGTCAGCTGCCTTGGAGAAAAATAAAAGACAAGGTAATTTTGGAAATTAAGTAGGTGTTCCCATACCCAAATCTAATCTTGTCTGGGGTTTCCCCACACATACCAGGCAGTTCTCAGACACCAGCAGGGTGTCTGTCACTATCCACCCAGAGATAACATCAGATTCCACAGGTTAAGGGTTCCATCCTACAATGCTGCACCCCTACCGCCCCATTTCAGACACCACTTGCAAGGCCCAAGCTGTTATCTGTGTCACTCAGCTACAGACTGGAGATTCCAGTGACCGCCTCCTCAGGTTCAATTATTTGTTAGAGCAGCTCACAGAAGTCAGAGAAAGACATTTACCAGTTTATTAAAGGATATGATAAAGGATACGAAACAGCAGCAAGATGAAAAAATATATAGGGCAAGGTCCTGAACAGTGGAGCCTCTGTACTCGTGGAACTTGAGGTCTGGCTTGGTGGCATATGGAAGTGTCTGTTTCCCCAAGCATGGAAGCTCTCTGAAAATAAGGACCGAAAAGATATTCTCTTGTTTTATTATGGAGGCATCATTATATATTAATGATTGGTTAAGTCATTGGCCACTGGCTGATTCAATTGCCAGACCCTCTCCCCTTCCTAAAGGTTGGGGGGGTTATTGAGGAGGGACTGAAATCACATGGTTGGTCCTCCTGGCTTCCAACCCTCACCCTTGGGTAGCATACAAAATTTGCCTTTTTAGATAACAAGAGACCCATTTTACCTTTATAGCTCTGAAACATTTTTAGGAACTGTGGATAAGGACCAAATATGTATCTGCATTATATTGCAGAAATGGAAATGGAAATGTCAGTTTTTGTAGGGAAAGGAATAAAAATTTATCTTGGTTAGGCATTTTAGTTCAGTTTTTTACCTATAAGAATTATAATTTATATCACATTCATTATATCCCAATAAGTATATTTTCCTATGAACCGGTATTAGAGATCTAACCAGTGTTCTGACTTTTTCTGTATACATGGAGAATAGATACTAATTTAATCACTTCTGATTTGATTTCTAGTCCTCCCTCTTGGCTAGTTCTCTGTTTTTCTTTCTTAAAAGTCAATTAAGTTTTGAACTCTAAATATATGTGTTAATAAAGAAAAGTAGACCAGATTTAAGATCAACTCATTTTATGGGGGGAGCTATCAGTTCACTGATGCAGAACTCTGTTACCCTTTTGGTTCTTCTTACAGTTTTCCCCCCTTTAATGCAGTGTGCATAAAGCTGTTAGTAAGAGCTCAGTTCTTGCTTTCTAGTTAATTATCCTCTATCTGATTCCCCAGTACATACCCTTGAGACTGTTACAGAGAGGCTCTTAATGTATAGCTGCCAAGAGAAATTCACTTTGGTTCCTTTTCTCTTTTCTTCCCAGGAGCAAGTAGGATCTATTAAGGAGAGATATGAGCACAGGCTTATGTTGAAACATCTCCCTCCAGAATTCAGCATCTTTCTGGACCATATCTCCTCTTTGGATTATTTTACAAAACCAGACTACCAGGTAATGATGTTTGTGAGTTCTGTGGGCTAATTCTTCTCTCTTGTTTAGTTTCTGTTTTCAACCACTGTAGCTTTGTGAGTGCTGTAAATGAATATGGGAGGTCCCTAGAATAATACTATTTCAGTACATGTTGAGAAATGTGGTGAAATTAACTGATGATGTTTCTGTGTTTCCTCCCTTTGGGATGAACATACTTCGTTAGAGTTTTAGATTTGTTCATAATTTAATGCATTTTACTGTTCATGCTGTGATTCATCTGGTGTAGAGAATTACTGGCAGTTCAGATTATGTAAATCCTGTAGCTAATTTTTTGACCAGAAGGAGATGTCCAACTAGGTAGTGTATTCATTGAGGGCATGAGGGCTGCATATTATATGTTAATATGCTATGGGACAACAGTCAGTGAAGTTATTGGCTCCATTTAGTCTGTGGTCAGTGAATCATTTCCTTAGAGCATCAGTTAATGAGGCCTTAGGAAGATTGACTAGGTTTACCACAAATTGCATCCCTAATCCCAAAGTGCTGTATTTCAAAAGATTCTATTGCTGTCAGGGAGAACTTGGTCAGAGCTAAATGCAGAATAATCACTACCACTGAAAACAAATGAAGCCACATGTAGATTAAAAATAATGATATATTAGTGTATCATTTTATCTACAAAGATAAAATATAGACTACTTCCTGTTAATGGAAGTTTTACATTCTTAATTGTTGTTAGTGTTGCCCAGTCGAAAGACTGTCTACAGCATAATGAATTTATTCACATATAGTACCTATTTCTGTGTGAAACTGCAGCTTTTGTATAAGATATAAATAGGATATAAAGCAGAGAGGTAACATACAACCTTGGGTCCTTAGTGACTTTAAGTGAGTGTGCTTCTCGTCTTCTTTCCTGTATGGCTATTTGCAGTATCAACTGTATGGACTGTCTAAAAAATAAAGAAAGGACATTGTATTGAGATACTCTGGAATATGTTCTTAAATTTTCATTATGTATGTATTTTCTGAATAGCAGTGAGTTCACATCACTTGCAATAAAATAATGAAATTATATCTGTAAGACTAGATTCCGGAGGAACTGGAAAATGTTCCAACTTTCCCATCTTGGGTGCTGATAATTTCTTATTGACAAAGTTTTTATGGGAGAATAAAAATTTAGCACAGCAGAAAACTTTTGATCACATTCTCTGCTTAGTTATGTCTAAAATCTAAAGAAGACTGTCATGTTCACCAACTAAAGTTTGAACTTAGACCTGTAATTTAAGTCAACAAATCATTGTTCTCAGGTTTTTCATTTAAACATTTTCTTAGGGCTCCTCTTTGTTTCTGTCACTTAATAATAAAATACAGTAATTTTCCTATTTTTGGAAGAGTAAGAGCAGGTGTAACACTTTTTTTTTCACAGAGTTCATAAATAATCTGGTTCTTTCTTGCTCTCTGACCTGTCATAATCAGCGAATGGGAGCAGAAGGCAGATGGACAGGAGAAAGATAATTGGGAAAAAGATATTGGTGTTAAGTGACTAGTGTGTTCTGATTACTAGTATCATGATGTCATGTTCCAAAAAGATCTGAGCTTTGCAGCTTCTGTCTTTTGCTTCCCTTGCAGCTTCAGTGCTGTGGTTTTTATTTTGAAAAAACTTACCTTGAATGCTTTTGTGAACTAATACTGTCTATTTAGTTAATTTTACAGTTTGGAATTTGTTCCTGAATTTGAGTTTAACTATAATCTTTCAAAATTTAAATTCCTTGTTGGACAAGTGTAGTGAAAAACAACAACAGTGAATCTCCTCCAGCAACAAGCAGAATACACACCAGTGCTCATTGTGACTGCCTCCCAGCTACATCAAGGGTCAAAAATAAAACTGTCTCCAACTGTATGTTCTGACCCAACACCAAAGCATCAAAGTGTTAAACAATGTTGTTTTACAAAGCCAAAGCTACTTTCACTTTGAATATCTGTGTTCTACAAATCTTTAAAAATCAGAATTTTTTGCCAGAAAACATTACTATCTAACAAGTTGCAAAAGGCCAACACCTTGTCCAGTAACCTACTAGGGCTCAGTCTGCCAGCAGGTATAGACCTAGGGAGAAGAGCTGTTTTGCTTTCTACCAGGAATCTTTTATGCATTTCTCAATTAGAATAAAAGCTGACACTTAACTTTTGGAAAGAGCTATGATGTTTTGGGAAATTACATCCAAGCTTATCACTACTTAGTGTGTATGTGTAAGTCTGTCTTCCCAGCTGGCTTTTAAATCCTGGAGGTACAGCAATATCTTATTTTATTTTTTTATCCTGCATTGTCCTGGCAATGTGCCTGACACTTAAATTTTCAAGAAATTTTAGAAAAATTGAATTGAATCTTAGTTTGCCTAATAGTTCCTACTCAGGAAATAGAAGAAAAATCAGCTCAATACTATTTTCTGTGTAATATCAGAATTATAGCCAAGATTAAAGCAGATATTGTATTAGGACTATTGTTTTTATTATTAGGTTCTGAAAAAGCACAGCAACTGTAAGAGACCAAAAAGTGCTGGGCCAAGAATCTCTTCAGGTGATAAAATTGCATAGATCTGTGTATACACATGCCTGCACAGATACACCAGTGCATGTGAAACTGGTGAAATTCGATTGTGGGTTGTACAAATGTTCTTTTCCTGGCTTGATATTGTACCCTAGTTACTTGGTATTTTACCATTGAGGCAAACTGGTTGAAAGGGACTTCTCTATACTATTTTTGCAATATTCTATTAATCTTCAATTATTTCAAATTAAAAGTTAAAAAAAATGTTGGGCCAACATTCAGAAATGTAGGTAGAGGTAAAAATACTGTCTTCTTGTTGCCGCCTTATAATTTAAATAAATCCTTTTAAAGTGTTTTGAGAAAGGAAAACATCTCTGAAGGGTGTCAAAGAAAATCTTAACCTTGAATTCCACCACAGGAGTTCACCTGTAGGTGATACTATTATTAGTTAATGAAAAACTAAGACAGTAAATTCAGATCGGATAAGAAGAACCCTTGGGGGCACAAAAAATCTCAGTAGTAATGTAAGTTGGTCACAGGGATAGTAGTACAGCAAGGAGAATATGGTCAGTGATTCTGTAACATCTTCCTATATTGACAGATAGTAACCACACTAGAGGGGATGAGGATTTAATAATATGGGTAACTGTTGAACTACAGTATTGTATATTTGAAACCAATATAAGATTATATATCAGTGACACTTAAATTTTAAAAATCTAGGTATCACTAAAGATGTTATCAAACTAAAAGAAAAAGGAACTCTTGGTACCTTTACACATTATTGTCACAATAATGACACAAAGCAATGTCACAATAACACTTGGGTGTATTACTACCCCCATCTTACAGAGACTTTAGACATGTTTCCTGGGAAAACTAGTGTGCTAGAAGTGGTATCTGAACCTATTTATGACCCATTCAAAAAGGTCCAGTCTCTTTCCAGTTTATCATCCTGCCTTCCTTAGAGAGGTGGCCACAAACAGCAGGCACTATGAAGTAAATGTTAACAACTGGTTAATAGAAATGCAGTGAAAGAACTAAAAAGTTATATGAACAATTATCAGAAATTATTGTCAGTAAGTAAAAGGATCACATGATCCTGACAGAAGAACACAAAACTATCTTTATAGAGTCTTCAAATGCTGTTAATGAAACACATAAGTATATACACAGTTAGTGAGCCTGAAACTAAAATGTATATACCCACTGGTTTACACACTGCTACAACATTGCTAATGTCAGAAGATCTGATGGAGAGGAAATCCAAAGCTGTCAAGCTTCATTAATCTTGGAAATATACTTCCCAGGTTTTGGGATAGGACTGTTTAAACAGACATTACATCAAGGTGCAGCAGGCTTACCTCTTGCTTTGGAGAACTTAGAGCCATTTTAGGATCCTTGGCTCTGGTAACATTGGAGTTAAATTTTTCAGAGGGCATAGGCAGGCTGCTTGTGAAGTAAACAGATATGAGGTTAAAGTAGGAAATAACGGGGAACGTCCCATAGAATGGGGGTCAGGGGAGGCCTCTGTTTCTTTTGTTCTGTGCCCTCCACCCTTCTGCTGCCGATCTCCAGTGTTACCATCATAGGAACAAGCTGTTTCTTGAGGCCCAGTGGCATATGCTACACTTCCTAAAGCAAGCAATATTTGGATAAATGTAAGAAAATAATCTATGATAAAAGGACATCTGGCGTGGAAACTGTGGAGGACCATGCCTGTTGCAGCCCAGTACAAGCCAAGTGCTCACACAGCAAGGCAGATGCTGCTTCAGGCATATGGGCTCCACTCTTCAGGAAGCATGCATCTTGCTCTGTGAGAACCTCTGAGAACCTTGATTTCCAGAGTCAAGAGAGACTAAGGCCTGCCCCTTCGGTTCCCCTTTGATGGGTCTCAATCCATCTTCCTTTCCTCCCTTGTGTTTTCTACAGCCCTCTGCATGTGACAGTTTGGGGAAGTCTAAGCTAGAACATGGGTAACTTACATCAACAAAAACATGACCAAAATGAAAATTCGCAGGTTTTATAACTATGCCATTTCCATTTCCTTTTTATCTTTTAAGTTTTCCTTTTCTTCATGTATTGTTTTTTTCTTTGGGACTTAAAGGTAGGGTCATGTGAATCTTTTAGTATTTATTATTACAAATAAACATTTGTTCTTGAAATGTTTAGAATAGCTGTGTAAAGGTTCTTAAACCACAGTTCCAATATGGGTTTTTTTCCCCCATACCACTAAGCATTCCTCTGACACCAGGTGGATATCCTGTAGCTTCAACTCAGTTTTACATGATTTAGCTGGAGATACATAGCTTCAAATGCCAGTTGCAAGTCCTGGTTATCATCTGTACTTCCCCAACTGGCTATAAATAAGATTCCCATGGACCCCTTCCTTAGGTTTGATTAATTTGCTAGAGTGGCTCACAGAACTCAGGAAACAAGTCTTCTCACTAGGTGATTTAGTGTTTTTTTACTGAGGATGTAGCTCAGGACAGCCAGGTGGAAGAGATGTGTAGGGTGAGGTATAGAGAAAGGGTATGGGGCTTCCCTGCCCTCTCTTGAGGACACCATTCTTTCAGCACCTCCACCTGTCACCTACCCGGAAGCTCTCTGAACCCTGTCCTTTGGGGTTTTTATGGAGGCTTCATTTCATAGGTATGACTGACTAGATCATTGATCATTGGTGATTGATTTAACCTCAAGCCACTCTCCCCTCCCCTAGAGGTCAGTGAGGTAGGACTGAAAGTTCCAACCCTCTCATCACATGGTTGGTTCTTCTGGTGACCAGCCTCTGTTCTTGGGTGCTTCCTTAAAATCACCTCATTAACAAAAACCCAGCTTGGTGGAAAGGGGCTTGTTAGTAATACAAGACACCCATTTCAATCTTATGGCTCTGAAGCGATTTCAGGAACTGTGGCAGAGGCTGAATATAACAAAAGATGCTCCCATTGCTCTTACCTCACAGGAAGTTCCACGGGTTTTCAGTGCTGTGAGTTAGGAACCTGGACAAAGGCCAAATATATAAGAAAAATGTATTTTGGTCATCTGAATGACCAAGTATATATTTCTTACAAACATGACATCACATTATTATATATAAGGCATTGTGTTAGTTCGAGTGATGAGCAAGGTCACTGTGTACTGGCCTCTTGGAGTTCACAGTCTGGGTAGAAGAGAAATCAATTAATAATCAGAAATAACTCTACATCTAAAACTGATAGCATTTGACCATCTTCTTGTTTAGGTGGTTTCTTTACTTGGCATCTAGAACCCTGCATATTTGGTGTTCCTACCTCATTGGCCAGTCTTTCTTGGTTTCCCTTGCTGAGTCCTCTTCTTCCCATCTAAGTGTTGGAGTGCCACAGGCCTTAGCCCTTGGACCTCTTTGCTACCTACTTAATCTCCTTAGGTTATATCATCCAGCCCTATATCTTTAAATAATACTTATTAATATCTATATGCTGATAACATACATATTAAATTTGTATCTGTATTCCCTATTCCTCTCTGAACTCCATACTCACTGGTTTTCATCTCAGTAAACAGCACCACCATTTATCCAGTGGTTCTGAAATCGAAATTACTCTTTATTCTTTTGTATTCTCCAAGCTTTCATCTAATCAATTAGCAGTATCTGTTGCTACAGCTCATGTCCAAATCTTACCACTTCTTACCACCTCCACTGTTATGCTAGTTCAACTGACAGGAGGCTCCTATTGGTCATCTGTCCCTAGGACCCTTATCCCCATCCCCTGTGTATGGTATGTGTTCTACACTCACCGCCAGAATAATCTTCTTAAAGCTTAAAACAAACCTTTGGAAAACCGTTCAATACAGAAGTGCTAATTTTGGGTCTCGGGCAGGAAGTCTCTGAGAATACTAACAGAGTAAGTGAAATGATGAGGAGAGAATGCAGCCGTAATCATAAAACTGAAAATGGTGCATATTGTCAGCAAGTATGTACAGGAAATACTTTAATAGTATAGGAAGGTCTTTGTGAGATCTTTCTCAAGATCACATCAGATTTTAAAATTTAAAGGCAAAAAAAATAAAATTTTGTATAATATAAATCAAATAATAGGGCAGCTTTCTTTGGGACACACAAACACACACACAGTTTAAGAATTTTTCAGACCCACAAAAAAATTGGAAGAAAGCACACTGAGTGTCTAAATACCACTTAATCTGGACATACCAGTTGTTAACACTGTTCATTCAAGTTGAACCATATAAAAATGCTCCTTTTTGACAAAAAAAGAAATCACAATAGATGTTGAAATGGAGTAGATACATACACCACACGTTTCCTTTGGCCAAAGCATCTGCAAGTAGGTATTAGATATGTTGCTTCATTATGTATCTTCCAAGAACAAACACATTCTCCTACATAACTACAAATCAGTACTTCAACTGTGAAAAGTCAACATTAATTCAATATCATCATCCACATATAGTTGACATTCCCCTATTTGTACCATCAGGCTTTTAAAAAAAAGTCCTACTAAAAACTAATTTACAAGTCTGCAGTGCTTTCTCTTGGAAAATAAAGTGCCTTTGTTAACTGTTAGCTTACTCTAATTTTTTTCTTTGTGGTTTAGCTTCTTACATCCGTGTTTGACAACAGTATCAAGACCTTTGGAGTAATTGAGAGTGACCCTTTTGACTGGGAGAAGACTGGAAATGATGGCTCCCTAACCACCACCACTACGTCCACCACTCCTCAGCTGCACACCCGCCTGACCCCGGCAGCCATTGGGTATGTCCTAAACAGACCAATTAGCAAAACCCTGCCTTTCCTGGATGAGTATTAGCAGAAATGTCTTTTATTTCACCCAGATTCCTGAGATATCATAGGGGAAAGCCTGTGGATTTCCTTGTAACAGTGCTCTTAAATATGCCTTTGTTTGGACTACTTTTCTCAGAAAGTACAGATGTAATTATACTGTGAAGTGGTTGCTTAGAGCTTGTGTGACTTGTTGATGTCAGATTTACAGTGAGTTTTCTTCAAAATGAGAAGGGGCATCTGTTGCATTTACTTATAGAGAACATACAGGACCCTGGAAAGAATGAACTACAGTTACATCTAACTATACTGTGCTTAAGTTTAGTGGGAACAGTGCAAGTAGTTTGTTCCTCTTAAGAAAGTGATATAATTTTCAAAGTGTATTAAGAACAAGTTATGGTGTATTTCCAGTTTCTTGGTTTTTTGTTTTTGTTTCTAATGTTTTCTTCTTTGCATGTGTTTAATACTTTTTTTCCTTGTCTTTTTTTCTGACTCATTTTTTGCCTACACTGGTTGCTTTAAACTGTTGAATTTTTAAAAAGAGATAAATAGGGATAATCTTCATATAATGTGAGCTAATTGGGACATTTTATCAGTAATCTATTGCTTTGATTTTATATTAAAAGGTGAGATCACTAGATCTTTCTGACTCCAAAAAGCTTACATGGACTCGTGGAACTGGAGTGATATACCTAATTAGCTAGTTTAAGAGTTTTTAAATGTGGGACTCTGACTAGCTACATCAGAATCACTACAGATGTTTGTTTAAAATATCTGTGGGACCCACTCCAGATCTGCTAATCAGAAAGGGTTCCAGCACCAAAGTTCCTATCCATCGAATGTTTCTCTTGCTTACCTGAGTTTGGGACCCAATTAACTAGTCTAGTCACCCCATTTTACAAATGAGGAAATAATCCTAACATGGAGTGAATTATCCCACTTCAGATAAATATTAGTGACAGAGCTAGAGCCCATTCTAGAAATTTCATCTCTTGTTTTAGAGCTTTTGTCCTCCTCCTTTGATTGTTTTTGATAGTAGATAAATCTCAGACTTGCAAAACTCCAGGTGATAAGACTTCAGGGTAGCTGAAGTCAATGTGAAGGCAGTTTAAGATCCCATATTTCAGTGTTTCCTCCTAAAATAAGACAGAATTACAAGAAAAGAAAAATAAAACTTCATAAAAACTATGTTCTCAGCATAATTTGAAGACAGAGGATGCCCAGACTTCAACATAACTCCTAAGTAGAAAGAGAAAAAACAAAACACCAAGTCTTGTGCAGTATCTCTGATGTTCCTGCCTCACCCAAACCTGCCATGAGGCTTTGTAAAAGCAGATCAGTTAAAACTGTAAGGAAGAGGAGAATTAGCAATGGGACTTAAGTTTGATCTAAAACTAATACCAGAAAGACAAAGCCCATCCTAAGAATTAAAATACAAAAAAGTGTCCAAGTAATCAGATCATAAACTACAGGGTAATAAAAATATGGATGATTTAAAACACATAGCTTCTGGGGAAGAAAAAAGACAAAAAAGAAGGGAGAAGCCCCCTTGTCTGTTGAATGATGAAGGAAAGAACATGTATCTTATTAGGTCCAATCAGGAGAGAGAACAGGGAAAGATGGTGCAAAGAATTATTACCTGTACCATGAAATTGGTGTAATACAGTATTGGTTCTTAAGTACAACTGTAGAGAACACAGGAATAGCAAATATAAAGTGCAGCTCCTGCTCTTAGGGCTGATATTAAGCATCAGCCCCCATCCCAGGGCTGAAGTCCTGCCCTTGTTGAAGAGGGTGTGCCCATTGCTCATTGGATGGCAGGGAAGTCACTTTGATGCCCCACTAGTCGAGTCTGGTGAAATTCTGCCCTCTGTGGTGCCAGAGAAGGCTCTCTACTGGAGGTGTCTCACTGGAGCTGATCTGCTGTGGGACTTCCCATAGTGGGGATTGCTCAATGAAGGTGTTGTTTGCTGCACCCTGTGTTCTGCTGGAGATGGGCACTGAAGATGCTGGAGGCTGCAGGAGCCCTGCTCTGGGGTCAGCCACATGTGCTGGGCAAGCTTGCCAAGCTGCACTTGGGATGTGAAGCAAAACATTTTCCCCCTGCAGTGTCTCTCCAGTGCCATCTACTGACAAAGCTCCATTGCCAGCAGGCAAATGAAGATACTTAAAAGGCTCAGATCCACTTTCACAGAACACACAAAAAGGATGAATTTGGGTCTGAAAGGCAGTAAATCAATAATTGCAGAGGGGCAAAAGGGAAATAAAATTTAATATCAACAAAAAAAGAGAACTATAAAGTCAGAGGACACACACTATCTCCCTGACCACAAAAACAAATAAAAAACCACTATTTGGATTGTGGTATAATGACAGGCAGCACCAATTAAACTAGAAATCTTATAAAACACTCCAGTGCTACAAAAGTGAATAAGAAAAAGATTTTAAAGATTCATAAAGTGTAATTGCAAAAAACCAAAAAAGAAAATCTAATATATATTAAATAGGGAAATTTCCTCTCAGAAAAAGAAGAAAAATGCAAGATAAACATCCAAATAGAATTAAATATACTCATGCATTTAAGGATATTGAAAACCACCTTGAATCAGAAATCTAAAAACTAAAACAGAAATAGACCCCAAAAGAGGTAGGGGAGAGGATGAAGAAGAGAAAAAGGAAAAGAGGGAGAGGAAGAACTAAAGTAAGAGTTAATTAGACTCAGGAAAGAAATGGAAGAAAAAGATGTCTCAGCATTGAATAAATTACAAAGTGTACAAAGGAAAATAGACTCAAATGAAAATGAAAGGGCATTGAATAAAGTCAGGGGGAAGAAGCCCCAAGAGAATGAAAATAAAATAATCATTTAAAAAGTCTAGAGAGAAAGCAATGCAAATGGAAGGCAAACAGAGAAGGACTAGCATTCATACTGTCAGAGTCCCTGAAGGAGAAAAACAAAACAATACCAATTAAAACTGAGAAATGCAATAGCAGAAGGTTAAATAAGAAAATGGGATAAGAGCATTTAAAAAGGTATATATCCAAAGGTGATGATTAAAATGAAAAAGCATACCTCAAATGCCAAAAAAAAAAAAGTTTATAAATTAAACTGCAAAGAATACCCATCTTGTAGAGAAAGAAAAATAGCATATATAACAAAATACACAATTATAAGATGCTGTTACTTTCTGGGACCAGACATATCAGTCATAGCAATAAATGTGCATGGTCTTAATTAACTCCTCTATTAAAAGAAAAAATATTTGCAGTTTGGTTTATATATATGCATATGCTACATACAAGAGCCACACCTTGAAAAAAAAGGTGTTTTAGGAAAGGATGGACAAAGATATACAAGAAAAGTGGGATGCTACGAAAAGAAAAATGATCCTGATATCAGAAATGTAGAATTCAAGCCAAAAAAGCATTTAGAGTTACAAAGCAGGAAGGGCACTTTTTAATGCTAAGTGCCACAGTACACAGTTAGTATTTATATATATTTACTCACCAGAACTACAGTAGTCACCTTCAGGAAGCAGCAGCTATAGGAGATTCAAGGAAGCATACACAGAAACATACCAGTAATTGGAGATTTTAATATATAACTCAGGACAAGACAGATCAAGTGAACAGAGAACAAGAAAAAAAAGAAAAACAACGTGAACGATAAGGCAGATCTTATGCATTTTTTTCAAACTCTACCCTGATTATAGAGATTGCACCTTCTTCTCAAAAGCCCTGGAACATTCATAAAAATTGATCAGTTATTAGGTCACTAAGAAGGTCTCACATACAAGTAGTTCCATAAAGCTATCTGATCACACTTCAATAGAACTAGAAATTACTAACAAAAGCAAAAATATCAAAGGTTCTTCCACCTGGAAACTTAAAAACCTCCTATCATCTACTCGTGGTTAAAAGGGAAAATGCAAACTCAAGTTACAGGAAAATAATGATAATTAAAATACTACTATCAGACTCTGGGGGATAAAGTTAAGGCCAAGATCAGAGGAAAATTGATGGCATTAGACAAGGAGGTACATAATGTCAATAATGTACTGATGGCATTAATGCTGATAATCTGATTAAGGTGCTGGTAGCTGTAAAGTTACTAGTTTTCCCTTTGTAAATAATTAGTATCTTGTGAGAAGCTGTTTTGAGATTTTTCAAATAAACTTGTTTTCATCACACTTTTGCCACTAATTTTAGTATCCATCAGTGAATCTTGTCTGCAAAGTATTAGGCCCACAAGCCTACAGTGTGGCCCTTTAAGAAAAAATTTGCTCACCTTGAAATTAACCTCTGTTAACAGTTGATATGGTAGAATACCTGCAAAGCCCTAGAGAAGCAATGTTAAACAGACAACTGGCAATTTCTTAGTAGAGGGGAAAAGTAAATTCAAGAGAAGGTTAAGAAGAGGCTTTAGATCAGGAGTCAGCAAACCTAATCTATGAAGGGACCGATAGATATTGTTGGGCTCTGCTGTCTCCTACCCTATTGCTGCCACAGCAGCCGCAGACCATACGCAAATGAGTCAGCTTGGCCACGTGCCCCACACCTCATGTGCAAAAGTAGGTGAGTGGGCCAGATTTGGTTCCCAGGCCAGTTTGCTGACTCCTGCCTTAGATTATGGGGAGGGATTATGAGAAAGATATCTGTTCTCACTGTTTTCCTTGACATGCCTCCAGTTCTTCTATACATCTCCTTCCTTTTTTCCTAGCCTGCTTCTGCACTTTATACCCTGCCTGCACACACACACCGTATACTAATAATAGTCTCCCATATACATTCTCACTGATTCTTACTCCTAAACACAACACAATTTTCCTGGGAAGGAATTCTTTCTATGTCTCAAATTCCAGATAGATATTGGAGTTACAGCAGAAGGAAGAAAATAATTATGTTAAAGTGGGGGAGTAAATTCAGAGAAGAACCTGAGCCACGTGGAAGAGAGCCTGTGTGGAGAAGGTGGGAGTGCTCCTTCAAGTGTGTGGTATTCTCCTGAAGCGTAAGGGCTGAGGGGGGCTGGGATAGAGTACAGCAGGAGCAGCTCAGTAGGAAAGGCACGGCTTGTTCCTGAGGAGTGGAAGGAGGAAATGTCGAGGAAGTGGGGTAGTAGCAGAATAATAGCTCCGCGTGGCAAGAAAGGATCTGGAAGAACAGCGAGTGATTAAAACGGGGGAAAATGTGGGGCTGGTAGACTGAGCATCCTGAGTTCAGGTACTCATCCTTCTGCCTTAGGAATTCTTTCAGTAAACATTCTGATTACCATTTAGCACATACAGGTTATTGTCCGTTCTAATGTGTTGCATCAGTAAATAGATGATAACATATCTTTTAGTAGCCAATTTTAATTACTTTTATAAAAAATTGTTTCATTTGAACTGTTTTAAGCCAAATGACATTTTCACTATGTTCCCAATGTCAGAACTACAGGAGCTACTTTCCAAGACTATGATTTTTTTTCCTGGGAGCCATTATCAGTGCTTTTCTAGATTATATACCCAAAACCCGGTAAAGTGGTTCCTCTTCTGTTATTGACTCCAGTAGGAAGAGGTGGTAGTGAAGGTCATCAAATCAGGTGGAGCAAGTACTTGAAAAATGGCTGATCTTTCTTCTCAGAGTGTAACATATTTATGACACCTGGGCCAGAGTGTAACCATTACCTTTAGAGTGGTTCACCAAGAAGATGCCTATTTTACTACCCATAATTGTGTCAGTATAATATACTGAAGACTGTTTTTTCTACTTCTAGACATCCCACATCACTTCTAAGAGAAGATTTCATTGTGTGCTATATATGTGTTTTGGCAGAAATATTTTTTAAAAAACCAAACTCATCTATAGAGTTATAGAACATTAGAGCTGGCAGGGCCTGATCACGTAGTGAATGATAACTAACAACTAGAAAATCCCTTTATGGGCCTGAAGTCTAAGAGAGAGCTGACCAACCATGTAAATAGGACATGACATTACTTTGGAAGAAATATATGGACAAGTGCCAATTAGTATTTTCTGTTTTGTTCCTGTCAGTTCATGAAGAACTGTGTGAACTGTATAATTACAGAATTTTTGGTTTCCCCTAGAGGGCACAAATTTCCTTTCTCCTCTTTATATCCCCAGAGCCTTGCATATAGTAGGTATTTAGTAAAAAGTCTGTAAGTGAAAAAGCAAATTCACATTTTATACTATTAAAAAATATAACTGATTTGATATCCCTGCTTATTATTATGACACAACATTTTCCTCTTTATAGTTTTTGTTATTCTCTAAGTAAAATGGTAAAGAATAGAAAACATTAAAATTGGAAAAGACTTCTTAGAGTGTAGAACAAATATTTTTAACTTGTAAAGTGATTGTTCAATCAGTGAGTTAGTAGAATTTGTATTTTTAAATCAGCTTGAAGATTCTGTCTGTAATCAAAATGTAGTTTTATTTTGAAGAATTAGCATGGCCTAAGTTTCCAAGGTTTTTGGTTTTGTTTTATGCTCTTAAGTCTATATACTTAACCAGTTAAATCCAGAAGCAGAATGTAGAATAGTCTCAAGGTAATTTTTGATTCTGGTGTTTTTAAGTTCTGCCTTTTTTCTCTCCTCATTTTTAGAATTGCCAATGCCACTCCCATCCCAGGAGACTTGCTTCGAGAAAATACAGATGAGGTGTTTCCAGATGAACAGCTTAGTGATGGGGAGAATGGCATCCCTGTTGGTGTGTCACCAGATAAATTGCCTGGCTCTCTGGGACACCCTCGTCCCCCGGAGAAGGATGTCTGGGAAGAGTTGGATGCCAACAGAAACAAGATAAAGCTTGGGATTTGTAAGGTGTGTGTTTCTTGCGTAGGAAGTGATGCACTTGTTGTGTTTCTCCTATTGCTGTAGCAAAGTATCATGAGTCTCAATTCTGAATGAGGAGTCATTGTATTGCTAGTTGTTTATATATTTATAATTGTAATATTTTAGCTAATTTTGCCTATGCCACTTAGGCATGGACATCAAACATTAATCTTTATCTTGTATTTTATGGAAAAGGAGAAGATATTTTACAAATATAACCAGATATTGAGACTAAAAGAAGAGACACCTATAGAGCAGAAATTATTTCCAAATAATGCAACAAGACTCTGGGTCCCATCTTTAGTGTGGACCAATAAAGCTCTGAGTATCATTCTGAATACTGTCTCAAACAGAGGTGGGCAAGTGAATGTTGGAAGGGGAAGCAGCATACTGATCATGAACTGACAAAGTGGATGTTGAATAAATAACACGATTCTTTTCTTTATTAGGATTGTAAGCTGGTCCTTAATGTAGGCAGGGGGAGAGAGAGAGATTTCTGAATTAATTGGTTAATTTTAAGTAATCTTGGAGCAGGTTATCCCTAAATTTCTCTTTGATTTTACTTCACCTGTTGTTTCCATTTTCATAGAAGATAAGATGAAGATAAATGGAATGGAGGAGCAATGAATTACCAATTAGTTTTTGGTGCTTCCTATGCTTTTATAAAGGTTTAATTGAGAAGGAGGCTAAATTTATAGGTATAAAATGAGACTTTGGGGTCATGCCTATTAACATGATTGACAGGAAGTTAGCTAGTTGTGTTTTATGAATGGGAAATACACCTTGGAAATAATCTTCTGTGGACACTTCTATTGTCACATTGGCCTATCTTTGGACAATATACTGTTAATCTGTATAATTTAAAACATTAACAGTAAGGTGGACTCATGAATGATGCAAGTTTGGACTGCTTGGGCCTCCTTATCCATGGATTTTTTTTAGCAAATATATTGGAAAAATTTCCTAAGGATTTGCAACAATTTGAAAAATATCCTCTCTAGCTCACTTTATTGCAAGAATAGTGTGTATATACACACTTTCAATTATAAAATGAATTAGTCACAAGGATGAAAGTACAGCATAGGGAATGTAGGCAATAATATTGTAATATCTTTGTATGATGACAGTAACCGCACTTAACTGGTGACATTTAGCAATATATATATAATTGTTGAGTCACTGTATGCCTGAAACCAGTACAATATTGTATATCAACTATACTTTCAATTTTAAAAAAGAATAGAGTGTATACTTTTACAGTACAGTGCATGTAACATGTAATAACATACAACATACAAAATATTTGTTAATCAACTCTTTATATATTGGTAAGGCTTCTAGTCAACAGTAGGCTGTTAGTAGTTAAATTTGGGGGCCGTCAGAAGTTACATGCAGATTTTCAACTGCTGAGGAGGTCGGTGCCCCTAACCCCTACATTGTTCAAGGGTCAACTGTAATTACTTTCAGTCATAGGGTTCATTTGCAAAAACATTGTCTCTATAGGTGTGATCAGCTGTACTGCGGTCTGGCTGTTGTATAAGCACTGTCTGAATTAATAGTCATCAGGAGTAAGTAGTGAAAGGTAATTGGGAAAATGTCAGATTTTGCAGTGTCAACTGTAGCTGACACCAGAAGCTGCTCCTTCTGGCACCAGAAGCAGACTTCTTAAGAGTAAAATATCTCTAGTGACCTCAGTTGCCAGCCTATATGGGAGTATCTGCATGTGAGAGAGTGAAGTGGCAGTTGACATAGATCTTAATTACTTAAGTTTGCTGTCTTTCACCCACCAATTACCACTTTTGAATCTCTGTTCTCTGCTATTATTAAATTCCTTCCTTTTAAGAATTACTGAAATTGGATTAGTAGTGTAATTCTTTGTGAAAGTAATGTTTATATGGATTTTTCAAAGATGTTTACCATTTCCTTGCATTTTTGGAAGCCCTGGACTCATCTTTCTTCCAAAATACTTCTTTTAGAAGTTCCTTTAGTTGAGGTCTTTTGGTGGAGAAATTTTTCAGTTTTTACTTAGCTGCAAATTTATTTATTTCACCTTCATTCTTTAAAGATAATTTATGCTGGATTCAAAGTTTTTGATTGAGAATTATTTTTCTATTGGTTTCAATTATTGGTGTTCCAAAGTCTGCTGTCACTCTGATTTTTTTTTCTTTGTAGATTATCATTCCCCTCCCCGCCCCACCTTGCCTCGTCCTCCCTCCCCAGCTACTTTTTAGCTTTTCTACCTGTCTTTGGTGTTCTGGTATTTTAGCTACAGTGTGCCTAGGCACATGTGTTTTTTTGTTCATCCTACTTTGGATATCTTATGTTTCCTGAATTTTCCATTCATAATTTTATATCAGTTTTTGGAGATTATTGCCATTCTTTACCTAAACGTTGCCACTTCTTCTTTCTTTCTGTTCTCTCTTCCTGGGACTCCAACTAAACATATATTATGCCTTCTTATTCTGTTATATCTCTTAATATCTTGTCTCATATTTTTCTTCTCCTTATCGTGCTGTGTTTCCTTCTAGGTAATTTCTTTTGCTATATCTTCTAGTTCACTAATTTGTATGGCCTTTTGTGGGTAATCTGACTTTTAATTTCTTAAATGAATATTTGCTATTAAATTCATCAGTTAATTCCAAATAATCCTTTGTTGATCTTTGTGATAATGACCTTTATTTAAACATTTTATGCATAGCTGTTCTATATTCTGTATCTGAATAAGTTTGGTATTTGAAGTCTTTGGAAAATGTAAATGTTACTATTATCATTTCTGCTGACTCTAGTATGGTGGCATGCCTTCTTGTGTGTTTGACTACCTTTAGTGTTTTACTCATTAATTAATAATTGATGGGAACCCTGTAGACTGGGATTGGGGAAACCTTCCTTCAAAGACTTTTTTGTCTTCTGCATCTGCTGGGAGTCAGAGTGTACCTCCAACTTGAGACCAATTGGGCATCTTCTTGAGGTTCTTTAATCAGAACAGGCATAGCAGACTTCGCTCTCTCGCCCCACTGCTGAGGTGAGGTTTCATTTCCCTGGCAGTTGTGCTGCCGTTGGCATCTGTCCTTAAGCAGCCCCACCCCTCTGGGCTGCCTAATGCTCAGCCTCCTTCTCTCTTTATTGTTCCAGCTCCAGGTTTTCTTGTTGTTGTTTGTTTCTAGAGACAGGTGGTATTCTGTCTTGGTGACCTCTCCTACGTCTTGTGAGACCACTTATGTATCAAAGAGGATATCCTTTCAGTTTTTTGTTTTAGTTTTGTGGAATGGGTTCCTGCAAGCATCTAGATAGACACAATATGAAAAGCCCAGGTCAATAGACATTTTTGCACTATTTATGTTTGTACCAAAAAATATAAAAAACTAACATAATACTGAAAATGAGAATAAATTAAGAAACAAACCTCATTTAATAAAGTATTAATAGATAAGTATGTAATGAAATAAAGTATCCAAATATCCTAATCCTGAAAACACATACCAATGATTTGCTCGTATTGTTCTGAAAGACTTCAGTGATTCCTACACATACAGTAATTGGAATGTTTTTCATGATTTTCTTTTATATTTTGTCTAGGCTGCTACTGAAGAGGAGAACAGCCATGTTCAAGCAAATGGTATTCTGAATGCTCCAAGCCTTGGTTCACCAATTCGTGTCCGCTCAGAGATTACTCAACCAGACAGAGATGTTCCACTGTTGCGAAAATTACGTTCCATCCACAGCTTTGAGTTGGAAAAACGTCTGACACTGGAGCCAAAGCCAGATACTGACAAGTTTCTTGAGATCTGGTATAAAAATTTTTCTTTTTTTTTTTTTGAAGCTACTAAGATACCATTATTATTGTTAATTTCTGTTACATAAAGTCTTTCAAATAAGAAATTCTTACACTTTCATGGCACTGATTTAAGTGCTAATCTTCATTCATGTTTTTAGTTATCGTCTTGATTCTTGATGTGAATTGTCTTCTAACATTGTTAGAAGTTCTATAACAGAGCTAAGCAGCGAGAGTTGGTCACTTCATAATACTAGGTACAAATTAAATTAACATTTTGAAGTGGTTTTGTTGGAAGGTGATTAGAATTCTCACACTGGAATGGAGAAGCTGTGGTGTGGAGTTGGAGCATACATGGTAAGAATGTCATTAGGCGGGAAGGAGTGGAGTACCTGCAGGAGGGGAAGAAGTAATTCCGGTGCAAGAGGCAGGCAGTTCAATTCAATTTAATGACAGTCTTCTATGAGTAAGTGCTGTAGACATGAGTAAATTTATCATTCTGTGTAGAAAGGATAAAAGATGGAACTTTAGAGAGCTATACATAGCTAATGACTATTTGTAGTTCATGGTTATAAAATCCATTATCCCCAAATTTTGATAACAGAAGATAGAAAACAAGAATTTGGGATATATTTATGAATTAGAGGAGGCATCAATATTCTTAAGACCTGAGTGACTTTAATAATAATCAAAACCTTCAAAGAACATCCCTGGTGGCTACTATTAGCAATGAAATGTTAGGTTAGAAGGACCTTCTAACTTTGACTAACATGGTGGTTACTGTATCTGAAGACAGTTCAGCCACTTGTGGCTTAGTCCAGCTTGCTTCAATTTTAAACAGTCCTTCATGTATGTGTGTTCTTCCTCACATGGCATTTCAGTCTCACAGCTATGTGATGTGATATAAGCTAGCATCTATCTGTTGATAGGATCAAAAAGATGGACAGGTTGGGGTAGTGTTTAAACATTTTGAATCGTGGCTAAAATTGGGAATAAATATAAAAATGCAGTAGGGATAAAAAGCTTCATTTGGTAAAGAATTAGCTAACAAAAGGATGGAATTAAAAAGAGAATCCATGCTGAGGGAAGAGCCAAGAGAGAAAACAGAATTAAGAACAGAAGTAATCCAAGAAAATGAACTCAGACCAGAAACCTAGAATGAATAGGGAACAATTGAAGGAATTGAAGTACCTAATCACAAACTTAAGGGAAGGAAAATATATACTGCCTAAACTGCTCCCCAGAGGATGAAATCAGTTCTCAGAAGCCAGTCCAGCCAAATGCCACCAGCCAGCAGAGAGATTTGTATACAATGTGAACTGCCTTTAAATCCGACACCACTGAAAATAGACCCCAAACCACCATCAGCCCCATCCCCATATGTGGAGCTCTGTGTGCACAGTGGATTCGGTGTGGTTGAACAGGATCGGTGTTTTCTCTTCTTCAAAGCTCTCCTTTAGAGGAGCTTATTTGAATGAGTATGCCTTCACATAGATCCCTATAGACAGAACAAATGCAGGAAGTGTTTGCCTTATGTATACTAGCTTCTTCATTTCCTTTTGTAGGGCTTCTGGTGAGGCAGAAGTCCCTTGGGTAAGTTGTTCTTCAGTCCATCACAGAGAGCAGAAGGCAGGGGATTGAACTGGTAAAGCAAAGGTGAACTGGATCATACAAGTCAGCTCTGTTAGGCCTCCTGCCACAGCAGGGGAGACACCTTCCTCCCAGGGGTCCATCTTCCAAAACAGGATTATGACAGGTAGACAAGAACATCAACCTGTGAAACTTCCCTTATGCTTTGTCCACCTTTTTTCTCTACATCATCTGTGTGTGAATGTTAGTTCCATACTATGTAATAAATGTAATAAATATTTTCTTAGGACAATTGAATAACTTCTCTTTGTTTTCTTAAGCCTGGAGAAAATGCAGAAAGATTCCAGTGCAGGAAAGGAATCTATTCTCCCCACTCTGCTTCACAAGCCTTGTGTTCCTCCTGTGTCCCATACTGACCACATCTGGCACTACGATGAAGAATATCTTCCAGATATTTCCAAGCCTGTCTCTGCCAACACCCCTGAGCAGGCAGATGGTGGTGGCAGCAATGGATTTATAGCTGTTAACCTGAGCTCCTGCAAACAGGAGGTTGATTCCAAAGAATGGGTGATTGTGGATAAGGAGCAGGACCTTCGGGATTTTAGGACAAATGAGGCTTTAGGCCATAAAACAACTGGCAGCCCTTCTGATGAGGAGCCTGAAGTCCTTCAAGTTCTAGAAGAAACTCCTCAAGATGAAAAGCTCCGGTTGGGTCCTTGGGCAGAACATGATCACATAAAGAAGGAAACCTCAGGTGCGATCTTTGCACTTTCTGTGGAGAGCCCTGCCACTGCTGCTTCAGAACAAGATGCAGATAGGGTGGAACTCCGGGATGGAGCTACCAGTCAGTTTATTGCAGTGACACCCACAAGTCCAATGGAAGCACAAGCGGAAGGACCCCTCACAGTGGTAAGAGACTTTTTCCTGTTATGTTTCTGCTATCCACTCAAGGTGCTAATAAGAAAGGGCTAACAGATGAGGAACTAAATTTCTTGAGCAGAGGCCTAAGTTTGGCAAATGGGTATAGGGTGTGATGTCTGAACAAAGTTTTGTAGTCAGCCTTCCAATATGAAATTTCTCTAAAAGTGGTTTCCTGTCAGGGTAGCAACTCAATACATCTACAAAGGAACATTTTGAGGAGATTCTGCTGTTTACTCTCAGTTTGGGCATTCCCCTGTTACCCTGTTATCAGTAGCAGCAGTGCCACCTGTGACTGTGTGAGCAGCAGGAGCCCCAGAAAAACCAGGTGTGGAGGCAGCAAGAAATTGTGTACCCAGATCTCAGGTGCTAGCAGCTGTATCTGCCCTGACATGGGTGGGAGTGCCAGACTTCCTTAAATTCCATAATCATCTAGCAGCTTTCTTCCAACTCCCTGGAAAAACAGCATTGTTTTTCGGGGGAAAAACTGAAATGTTTTCTATTAAAACACAATTCTACATGCAGGTGTAAAACAGAGAATTAAAAATGTGATTTTGTGTATAGCTCTGTACCTCACTTCAAAATAGGAAAATAAATTTCTGCCTCTTTATTTGGAGGTAGTTGGTCTTTCCTTGTCAAACAGGGCCGCTTGTGTAGCTATACAGGTTGTTCACTGCTAAGGTGGCCTAGCCAAGGGAGCACGGTGAGGCTTAAATCTAGCCCAAACTTTGCTGGCCGAACTGTGCATGTTTGCATGGGGCTGTAGCCTCTTTGAGGAGCATCCTTTTCCAATTGTACTTTGTGGGCTAGAGGTAGGTTCGACCATTTCCCTTCCTTCCCTGTATCCTTTTTTCTACTCCACCTTTCCTCTCTCCACCTATGCAGATTCAGTTTCTTTTTTCTTTGACTCACCATTGCTCAAGCATTTTCCCAACAGCATTCTGGTATGCTTTCCTTCAAAAAGGCTTTCCTAAAGTGTTGGCGCCACTTCTTGTATTTTTTGTACTTTTGCATCAGTACTGTCCTGTCCATAAAAATTGTTCTCATGGTTCTTTTAAACTATCTGCAACACTTCATAACACTGGAAGACTTGTTTTCTTGTATTTGATATTATAAGGACCTTATTTTCAGATATCTTAAAATAATATTTTCTTAACTGAACGTTTCTAAAGAAACAGCTGTGTCACTTATATACATATTGATTAAGGTGTTAAACTTATTTCCTTCATTTTGGGGAGTTTGGAATAAAGATATATTTATCTTGTTTCTCTTCCTGAGGCTTAAATTCGAGTTTACTTTTGCACAACAGATGTTATCACTTCCCTAACTTACAAAGACATTAAATAGGGAGTCAGTCTCTCGAGATCTCTTTTTATATGCTCTTGCTTGGACAATATGATAAACCATATTACTGTTCTATTTGAATATTTTATATTAAGACATGTTCTGATGGAAACAGTTTGTTGGTTTGTATCCTTTGTACTCAGGTGTATTTCTTTTTTATGATATGAAGGGGGAATGTAGTGATAATCTTAAAATATGTAGGAACTGTAAAAACAGGCAAAGCCAAATTTATCTGTATTGCAGAATAGTTGGCATATTCAGTTAACTAGTGAGAACTTCAACACTCTTTAGTTCTCTTTATTTCTTATTACAGATCTGTGAGCCTTATTTAGGACTTATTCATATATAAGAAACCACTGATTATCAAGTAGCATGTATAAATTTTTTAGATAATTATTTTGAAAGATGGATAAATCTTCTAGATTGAAAAGAAATTGGTGTAGGGTTATTTTTGAAAGTAAGATTTTTCCCCAGAGTAAAATATCCTCATATTTATTCATAAATAGTGATGAAATTAGTCCACTATCAATCATTTCTAAAAAGATGGTGAATAACATGGATTTATAGGAATAAAACAAGACTAAGCCTTGGCTTATAGGAAAAATATTAAATTATGTTTTGATTAGCAAATGGAGAGACAAAATTAAGCTGGTATAAATGAACAAATATAGAGAAGAAAAAGAAAAGAACTCGAACTGCTTGCAGAAGAGGTCTAACTGCTGGTTCAGAGTGGCAGCGACTATAGGACAGAGCTGGTTTTATGTGATGTGGGGTAATCACTGTTGGTAGGGAAAAGGCTGTACTTGAATAGTAATGTGGAAGTGGAAGGGTTATTCCTTACTGAATATCATGGCAGACTGGAACATGATGTCCTTTAGAAGGCCAGCACTTCATTCTAAAATTACCTTTGGAAACAGTATAAATGTGACTGGGGATTAATGCCACCACCTATATATTACCTATTGCTGTGCAACAAATTATTCCAAATTTAGTAGCTTTAAACAAACAAGTTATTTTTTCAAACTGTTTTTGAGTGCTAGGAATGCAGGAGTGGCTTAGTCTGATTCTAGTTCAGGATTTCTCATGAGGTTGCTGTCAAGCTGTCAGCCAGGGTTGAAATCATCCTAAGGTTTGACTGGGATGGGAAGATCCACTGCCACACTCAATCACATGACTATTGGCAGGCCTTAGTTCCTCACCAGGTGGGCCTCTCCATACTTACCGTGGCAGTTGGCTTTCCCAGTGAGTGCAGAAGGAGACAGAGATGGGAAAGGGGGCTGGTGGTAAGGAGAACACGCTTCCACCAAGAGAAGAGAAGCCACAGTGTCTTTTATAACAGTCTCAGGAGGGGCATACCATATTCTGTTGGTCACACAGACCAGCCCTGCTACAATGTGGGAAGGACTATGCAAGGGTATGAATTCCAGCGGGTAGAGGTCATTGGGGGCCATCTTAGAGGCTGTTTACCCTATCATCTCATATTTGTATTTTACAGAATACTTCCATATTGATCATGACAGCAACTCTGTGGAGCAAGCACTATTGTTGTCCCTTTTTGCACTGATGGCACCATGCCTCAGGCCAGTGAAATGATCTGTAGAGAATCAGATGGCTAGTGGACTAGACTGTGGTCTGTCCCTCATACCAGTCTTCTGTTCCTCACACCAGGCAATTGTCAACATACTGAATGATTTTCCTCATCAACTTGTTTTTTAGACATTGAGAAGGATGGGGGTGTGAAATAATGCATAGAGAGTACAGGACAAAAAAAAAAGTGACATAGATTTTTTTATAATCAGCATCTATTAAGAGGATTCCTATGACTATATTTACAGAAGTGCTAATACCAGTACTATCAAATCAGATCAGCAGTTGATTGCATTGCCATAATTCTGTTCTTTTCATCCCATCAGTTCTATTAAGTGTCTGCTAAGTTAAGTCTTTTGCTGTACCTTGGGGATAAGGAGTTGACATCAACTGATCAGGTTGGTGAAGGCCTACATCTTAACAGCTTAAATAACATGAAGTTTAGTGGAGCTATGTACACAAATGAGGACACGGATAAATCTGCCTAGGACTGAGGAGTGTGATTTTGGGTGTTTTTATTTTCTCAACCTTATTTTCTAATTTTTTTTTTTTTTACTGTGATGAAGATCTATTACTTTTATAATTGGGGAGGAAAGAAACATTAGAAATCTTTCTGGGAATGTTAAAGAGCACTTCAAAAATAAGAAGACTTGGAAGGATGAATAAACTTGCTGTAGAGAGACACAGGAGTGTCAAGCAAAGAACACAGCATGTGCACAGGCACAGAGGTTTGAAGCACCTCAGTAAGTGATCAAGAGTGTTAGGGCAAAGGAGGGAGGCGAAGATGCACTGCCACAGGCAAGGGGACCGGAGAGGGGGTCTTAGCAGAGTCACCCCTGAGAGCTCCAGGTACAGTTTGCTTTGAATTCAAACTTACTTGATTTCTCAAAAAGGCTTTTTTCCTTGCCAGTTTGTGTAGTTAACGTTTTCTGCCTCTTTACGTGTCACCTTTAACAAATGTGAAAATGTAGAAACTTTAGGTGTCTTAGGAAAAGACATTCTTATTAGATAATGATTCTTATTCACATAGAATTGAAATGGCCTCAGTGGAAGGATGGTGGAATTTCACTTACCATAGGCTTGACCTTAAGAAAATTAAAGAAGATATGAAACATTAGTAAATATGCACCTTTGCTTATAGAAAGATATAATATTCCTAACATTGTTTGATTGATAGAATTCATAGGAAATCACAAAAATGCCTGTAAATTTGGTATTTTTCAACTTACAACAATTTGCCAGTAATTCCTTCCTATAATCCTGTATCTGGATTCTGGCAGGAAATAACTAGCACACTCAAGGGACTTCAACGGGATTTAATGACAAGAACTTTTTATAGATGTGCAGATAGAGTTAAGAGTGCCAGCAGGACCAGCAGTAGAAGAAGCCATTCCTACCCTGAGTCCTGACAGATGAGGTAGAGGGACTGTTAGCAGAACCCGAGAGTCATGTGTGTGGGAGAGGTGCTGGCTGGGAGCAGTAGAACGTAGCAACCACTAAAGCCGTAGTCCTTGTGGGGGAAGCCCTACTTAATGAATGGTGAGGGTTAACACCCAGACCTGTCTCCCTTGCAGCTGTCTGATTCTCTGTTGGCGCTCCCATTGGGCAAAGCTGGCCAGAAACCAGAAGACAAGGGTGCCTGGGTAGTAAGATCTGTAGACGTCAGTCTTCCGGGGCACAGAGCAGGCTAAAGAAAGAACAGGGATGTGCCTAGAGGGAGGCTGTTCTCTACAGTTCCTGAGTACGGAAGCTTGAGGGGCATGTATTTTCATTCAGAACTGTTCATTTTAAGTATGAGTTGGGCAGACCTGGTTGATATCTGTGTTCCTCCTAAAGATCACAGTTTGAAGTGTTAAGTCTCAAAGCACACATCTTTATTTATATTCCACATGATTGCATTTTAACTTTTTTTCTCCTCTCTTCCAGATTACAATTCCAAGACCTTCTGTGGCATCCACACAGTCGACTTCAGGAAGCTTTCACTGTGGTCAGCAGCCAGAAAGGAAAGACCTCCAGCCCATGGAGCCCACTGTGGAACTCTACTCTCCAAGAGAGAACTTCTCTGGCTTGGGTGTGACAGAGGGTGAACCTCCTAGTGGAGGAAGCAGAGCAGACTTGGGGCTTCAGGTAGATCACATTGGTCATGACTTTTTACCCAATATTCAAGTATGTGACAAATCCCAAGACCTAGGACCGAAAGACCTTTCTGACCATAACAGACTGGCTATGAGAGAATTTGGGAGTTTCCCTAGGAAAACTGAAGAGAAATGCATTCTTCTGGGGTCAGATAATGAAGATGAGAAGTTAAGCAAAGGGCAGCATCATACTGAGATCACCTCTCTCCCAGGAGATTTGGAAACTGTGGAAAGGGATCACTTAGCTACTGCTGAGCCTCTTGATGTAACAAAGACACAGACTTTTAGTGTGGTGCCAAATCAAGACAAAAATCATGAGATAATGAAGCTTCTGGAAGCTGGAACTTCGGAAATATCTCCACGAGTTACTGACCCACATGTTGAAGGACAGATAGGCCAGGTGGCAGCAATGCAAAAAAGCAAGCTATCTAAGGATGGTGACATCAAGAGTAAACACTTGGCAAGTCATCAAGGAGACCTCTCTACTTTTTTGTACCAAGAGGGTAAGAGAGAGAAGATTGCCCCTAGAAATGGAGAACTATTTCATTGTGTTTCAGAGAGTGAACATTGTCCCTCATCCCGGAAAGATGTGATTAGGTCATCCTTTGTAACTAGACACAGCCGAATCCCTATTTTAGCACAAGAGATAGACTCAACTTTTGAATTATCCTCTCCAGTCTCTGCAAAAGAAAAGCTCCTCCAAAAGAAAGCTTATCAACCAGACCTAGTCAAGTTTCTGGTGGAAAAAAGGCAACTCAGGTCTTTCCTGGGAGACCTCTCAAGTGCCTCTGATAAATTGCTAGAGGAGAGACTAGCCACAGTCCCTGCTCCCTTTTCTGAGGAGGACGCCTTCACTCCCTTTTCAAGACTGACTATAGACTCACATCTGAGCAGATCAGCTGAAGACACCTTTCTGTCACCCATCATCTCCCAGTCCCGAAAGAGCAAAATTCCAAGGCCTGTTTCATGCATCAACACAGATCAAGTCAATAGCTCAGCTTCATCTCAGTTCTTGCCTCGGCCACCACCAGGAAAGCCACCCACAAGGCCTGGAGTAGAAGCCAGGTAATGCTGTGTGTTCTCCCTGGGTTAAGTGTGTAGCCATTGTTTCTTTGCATGGTTACAATACAGTGGTTTCATTTCTTTGTTGCCTGCTTCTGATCATCTACTTCCTCCCTGCCTTTCCCAGGCCTTCTAGCCCAGGGTAGTAGAAGAGGTCAGATTGATTCAGGTCAATTCTTAGCTCTCCCACTTTCTAGCAGTATGAACCTCAATTTCCTCATTTATAAAATGAGTAAAACATTTGCTTTGTGGTTTTGGGAGAAAAAAGCATACGCCTAAGAGCTTTGTGCAGCCTTTATTAGCATGCAACAAAGGTTACATCTCTTCTAGTCCATTTTAACTTGATACTTCGTAATTTTCTAACTTTGTCAAGCCAGAATCCCATTGTAACAGATGCCAGAATTCTAATGAAGAACACTGTGTCTATAATTTACTGAATGGGCCCTGATAACAGTGCTGTTTATCTGATTATAATGAACCTAACAACAAAAATCCTATAGGTGGTTTCCCTAGGTCAGATGATACATACAACCATACAAAATAAAGATACTACTTTAATATTTACTGTATGGTATACTTGTTTATTGAAGCATTCTCATGTTTACTTGACCACAGAGTGATTATATTTTGAAGAAGAGAGGGAAATAATTGGGAGGCGATGAACCAGTTAAGAGCCATCTCCTTGAAACCATTACTTACTTTCACAGAGTAGAATGATCTAAACCTGTGAATAAGAAAGAGAAAAAGAAGGATCTTGAAACAAAAACAAAGTGAACATCACCATACATTTACATGAAAACTATAGCCTATTCTAAACAGTATAACAATAGGCCTCCACAAGTTATAAGGATTTCTGAAGTGTATTAAAGTGAGATTCTATCTGTGTCATTACCGAGAAGAATTTGCTTCCTTACCTAAAAAGTAAGTTAAGTTTTGACTTGCCCTAGGGTTTCAGGTTCAAGGGTAACTTAATGTTGGACTTGAGGTGCAGGTGGGACTAGACTTCCATAGGAAGAATGATGATGAGTAAACATCAGTCATTTAGCTGAGATACTAAAAAAAGGTGATTCCATGAACAATATTCATACATCCCCCTTTTCCTTCTGCTTGGCATCTGTACTTAATGAAGATGGTGTATCTGTGGCTTGAGCTGCTTTGGACTGCAACAAACAAATCTTAATTATTTAGTACTTTACATGTCCTCTAGAAGTAGCACTTGGTGACCAAGCCAATTGTGTGGTATTGTGCCAGATATTACGAACTGACCAGCCTGGAACTCCTCTGGGAAGTCAGTGCAGACCGACTTTCCTACTTAGGTCCTGGCACAAGAGAAATTATTTTATTCCATTCTTCAAATTCTCCTGTAAGGTTTGTGAGAGTAGGCTTAACCAGAATGAGTGTCATGTCACTTGTCAGAATAAGTAGATGGTGAAGGAGGAAGAGAGAAAATTCAGGAAAAAAATGAGTAACTTGTTGCTGCCCGGTGATGGTGATCATGGCTTTGTCCATCCTTGGGTCCCATGGGTGCCAATACAACCTTGGCAGCTCTTCTCCCATTTCCTTCTATAAGGAGTGGCGTGTTAGCAGTGCGGGGCTTAAATTCTTTATCTGAGTGAATTTTAGGTCAAGACAGAAAGACATTTAGGGCAGAGAAAACATTGCTATTCACACGAATACTCTCTAGATTTAAAATTCTAAGGCCCAGGCTCAGTTGCCAGTAAGAGGGGCAGGCAGTCCACAAACCTAGCTCTCCTGAGTCTCATGCTGTTGTCAGAGGTAGAAACTGTGACCAGTGACTGCTCTTTTCTTTTGAAAAAGGTTGAAATACACTTTTATCTGTAGTTCCTGTTGTTGATGAATACAGTTCATGCTGAAGGCTTATATTGTAGGGCTTAATGTTTGTATGTGTATGCAGAATTCCTGTCCTAAGAGGCTTGAACAAAATGGTTTATTCTGCCTTTCATGTGTTAACATGAAAGAGACATTTCATTAAGTTAATTAATTCTAAAATTAGAAGAGCAAATACACCATAGGAGGAGGGGACTGCAACATTTAAATGCTTCTGAATGGCAGGCATCCAACTAACTCCTTCCCTTGTGTTGCTGTACTTGGCTGCTCAGCAGTCCTATGGGGTAGCTGGCGTTCCCATTAAAAGCTAGGAGATGTTAAAAAATTTGTCCAGGGCTGTACCACTGGTATGGTATGCATCCTGTGTTTCCTGATTTTGACTCACATACACATTATGATTTGGGACATTGTGACTCTCTAGGAACACTTGAAATAAATGAAAATGAAAATAATTCTTCTGTGTTCTGTTAAGGCTCCGCAGATATAAAGTCCTAGGGAGTAGCAATTCCGATTCAGACCTCTTCTCCCGCCTGGCCCAAATTCTTCAAAACGGATCTCAGAAACCCCGGAGCACCACTCAGTGCAAGAGTCCAGGATCCCCTCACAATTCCAAAACACCACCCAAGAGTCCAGCTGTCCCTCGCAGGAGTCCCAGTGCCTCTCCTCGAAGCTCTTCCTTGCCTCGCACATCTAGCTCCTCACCATCCAGGGCTGGGCGGCCCCACCATGACCAGAGGAGTCCATCCCCGCATCTGGGGAGAAGCAGGTCACCTCCCAGCCACTCAGGATCCTCCTCCTCCAGGAGGTCTTGCCAGCAGGAGCATTGCAAACCCAGCAAGAATGGCTTGAAAGGATCTGGCAGCCAACACTACCACTCGGCCAACACTAAGGCGCCCCCAGGGAAGAGTAAGTCTGCCAGTAAACTCAGCAGATAGGAGCCGTGCTGCATCTCTGTGAAAGGTGTGAGGTCTTCCTCCTAAATCCAATGCATGTGTGTCCTTGTACTGTCTATTTAAAAAAACAGTGTTGATCTTCTCTTGCAAAAGGAAGTAACACGATAAATTATTTATAAGAAGACATAAATATATGACAAGGGATTACCCAAGGCAGGAAGCAAGCAGATCAGGAATCAATGCCTTTACAGAGGAAGGGACAATCCAGCAAAATCAAAGGGAGAAGTTGATTAAGTGAACTCTCATTGTTTAGCTGCCTTTGAAACAAGAGAGTTTGAAGGTAGGAAATGGAATGGAATTTTAAGGGATTTGGCCTACTTTTTTTTAAGGCCTCTACTCAAAGATTATATAGCAAAAGTAAAACATTATTTTAATGTTTTCATTCACAACTTCCCAGTGCTGGAGAGTCAGAATTGCTCCCGTAGCGGAGCATACATGTGAGGAGAGGTCTATGCTGGGAGCCACTGCTCGCATCCATTTGCCTCATGTGTATCTAGTGTACTGAGAATTCCCACCTTTACTTTGCCTCATTCCTAGTACCCTCCCCTGATTTCATATTTCTTAATGTAGTGTTTCTCATCTGGTCCAATCTCTTATTTTAGCAATACATGCTAATATGCTTTTAGCAATACATGCTGAGAATTTTTTTTAGTCCCCCAATATTTTTCTTTGGAGCAACAGTTCTTAAATCAGCATATTTTTATTGTGAAAAATAACTGATGAGACTTAGATAAAGGAAGGAAAAAATCTAAATAAAGCTATTTTGCAGACTTTTGTGCTTTAGGAAGAGCAGGCAGGGCATGGGGTACTACCCTTCCAGATAGAAGAGCCCTCTCCTCCTCTGATAGTTTCCTCCTTGTGGAAGGAAAAGTGTTCCTAAAGTACAATGCTGTGAAATGTGACTTTATGCGTTTAGAGATTTAGAAAGAAATTAGGTACTTGTTGAGGCTTGTTGTCCTCAAACTTTGTATTTTATACATTTAGCAAGGAATGAAATGTGGGGAAATAAATTTGGGCTCAATATTTTTAGTATTTTACTACCTGCTTCTATGCTTTAGTTTGAATATTTGGACTTTTTGACCTGATTTCCATATAAACTCAATTTATAAAGCTGCGGAGGATCATATTTGTTCTAATTTCACTCTTCTGCTAACAGGAGTCAGGAAAAATTAAATTACGCTGGACTTTTTAAATGGGCTCTTTTGTACTCTGTAGGTGTTTTGTGTTACAAAGACCTTATTAAGGTCAGGTAAATTTTTCTGCTTGCTGTTGAAATCTGCCTTCTAGCAAACATCTGTGCTTTCTCTTTGACCTTGTGTTTGCTGCCAAACCTAATATGGTTGAATAGGAAAACAAAAAAAAGAAAGAAATATATTTCCCCACCAAGTAAACATACTCTAATGCTGCATCAAAGCTGCCCTGAAGCTGCACTGAACTTTTCTCATTCTCTTTATCTGTTGTGCTTTTAAAAAAAAAAAAAACGAACTCAAAACACTATTGAGACATATGGTCTCCCATAAGAAATGTAGCATGGTATGGAATCTTAATTTCTCTCTGGTTTCGAGCACTACAGAGGAATGCAATAGATAAAGATGATCTGCTGTTTAACTAAAGCAACTGTAATAAGGAATCTTAATTTCTCTCTGGTTTCGAGCACTACAGAGGAATGCAATAGATAAAGATGATCTGCTGTTTAACTAAAGCAACTGTAATATTGGAAGACCAGTCCTTCTGTATTATATTGTATAATAGTTGCCGTAACACTACCTGCATGTCTTCATAGTAAATCATATAAATATTTATAAATACATAGAGAAACATATGCTTGTATAAACTCATTCTTTCTCATTCTCCATTTGTAATTTCGAGATCACAGATGGTGAAATTCCTTTTTATTGTGTGCCTCGTGTCTACTTGGGCCTTGCCTGTCTTCATTTTCTGAAAATATGTTCTTGGCATGTGACACTTCAGATTCTCCTTGACTAGCTTGTGTATAATGCAAGGGTTGGCAGGCTTTAAGAAGCCAAAATAGATGATGTAATTTTCATTTTTAAGATTTTAATAGGGGTAGTAAATTACTGGGACTTGGTTGTAACACTGGTTCAAAGATTTGTCATGTTAATCACATAATTCTATTCTTATGGTTAGAGTGGATAAACTGGGGTGATGATAATCATGGGTCTGACTAAATTGAATTAAAAAGAAAATCTCTTAGAAGTTACCATTCTACTTTCCTCTTTTTACCTTTTTTCATCCTAGATGTGGTAGGGGAGTAATCTACAATTAAGAAATTATCTTTTTTTCTGTAATGTATTAGCTAATTGTACTAAAAGTAGCCAGCTCTAAATCCTGACCCCTCTAGTCAGAAATATGTTCTCCATACCATTGGAAAAGCGGAAGAGGTTACATTTGTGATGTGTATGTAATTTTATTTCTTATTGGCATTTCTCTTCTTGTCAAAACTAACAGTGAGGGCAACATGGCAACTGAATGTTTTCTCTCATTCTTGGTTTCTAGTGTTTTTTTCCCAACTTTCCCACTCTGTTGCCCACTTTTCTAAGTGGCACGGACAAACTCAAGATCCAAAGAGAAATAGCCTCATTGTGTAAGAACATTTTAATTTGCATATAGAAGTTTAACCAAAGGTGTTTCTGCACTGATACTTTCAAAAGAAAACAGACTAAATATATCTTATGTATCAGTAAGTCCACTTAAAAGTACTCTCTTATATAGAGATTTACTTCATGGTTCTTTAAAGCAGTTTGTGCTTTTAGATGTTAGATGTCTCAGGCTAAAAAGAGAAGTTGGCAGCTCTGAGCAAAGCACTTCTGGCACAAAGTTTTTTGTTTTTGTTTTATTTTAAAGTATGATATATTTTAAAGTATGATACAGAGAACAAGTTGGGTTTTGTTGTTTTTAGGTTTTTTTAAGTTTATTTTTGTTTTTTTTTTTAGTGATGCCATATTTCGGATTTCAGTGACAAACATAGAACACCAAATAATTTTAAGCCAGTTTGGTTATTCTACTTAAGAGACATAGCCATTAACTGAAATCAAGCCAAACTGTACTAAAGGTAGTATGGGGCAGAAGTTAAAATTATATTTTGAAAATAAAATGTCTGGTTGCCACACTTGCCACACTTGCTCTTACCCTCCCTTGTTTAATCTCTGGAATTACTTGGGTGGAGCAGAAGATGGAATTAGGATCAGCTCAGTCCCTTCAGGTTGCATTTTTCCTAAATTATGCTGCCCAACCTCCAGCTGGTACAGATTGGTTGAAATACTAAAAATCTGCAATATAATCTTGCACAGCTTAAAAGCATTTAACTTTAATGTGTAGAGAAAAATAAGGAATATTGGGTCATACTAAATTTAATCTTACAGCACAGATCATGAACATGTTGGAATGGTATGTCTCAGGTAGGTAGCTTCATTCTTTACTTGCTGTGTAGGCTGGCTTTGGTGATAGTGGCATAGTTAAATTTACTGTATTTTAAGTTGCATGTTGTGAAGTGAATGTTTTTGTGAAAGTTGCCAAGTTAATCAAGTCCTAATTAAGTAGCAAAATGGTAACTGAGGTCCACTGTTGTTCTTAGCCACTTTTTATATCGTTTGCTTTAAAACAAATCTCAGCTGCTTACTAATTGAGTGGACTAGTACAGATCTCTGTTTAACTCCTAGTCATTATGGGAACTTGAGATTCTTTGGTAATCATCAGAAATTCCTTCCCGGCCACAGAGCTTATGTGATTGTTTCTATGGTGGCATTCAGATTCAGTCAAGGCAAAAGTGTACATTGGTGGGTGCATGTTTTATAAACCCAGACACAGATAGTTAGAACTATAATTAGTTTTCTATACCCAGTAGTTTGAATTAAAAACAGATGCTTTTTCCCCAAGAGCAGAGGATTCTTTGTTCTAGTAACTACATTCTTAATCTAACATTAGGAATTGCTGATAGAAGAAATGGGACCCAGAATTCAGAATTTAGTGGCATAGGGGGAAAAAAGTACATCTTACTCTGGCTCTTTGAAAATATATTTATTTGTAGATAAGTCTAGAGTTAGTCTTAGAGATCAAAGTTTTCACATTTTAAAACTTTCTTCATTCCTTTATATCTATCAAAACACAGCATATATTAGGGAACAATTTCTTCTGTCATGTTCATGTATTTTGGAATGAAGTTGTTTACATTCTGTCTTTAAAATATGCCCATTTCTGTTTTATGTGCATTTACCACAGATGTGTTAGGACTTTGCCTAATGGGAGAAATATTTTAGCACCTGTATCACTGAGGAGATAGAATGGTTGAAGATAACTACATTAACAATTGTCCCTTGAATTTGGTTCTGTACATAGTTATTTATTTTAGTACAAAAAGTATTACAGGATTAAGGCATGTAATCACTATGGTACCTATGTTCAGAAGCCACAGGTGCATATTTAGACCTTAACTGAGAGAAGGGAACAAGAGGCAGTTCCAGTCCCTAGACATACGGAAGGATGTAGCACATGGAAAACCCCAGGTGGTTGTTAGGACATCCCACTTCCCTGTCCTCATCCAGTAGAACTCTGGGGTATTCCTCGAGGATGTGGGAGTAGTATGAAAATATACCACTGGATATTCTCAGTCGTTTGACTGTCATTCTGTAATTATGAGATAGTTAGCCCAGATAGGCTTGGAAGATTGGAAGACTGCAGAATCTCTTGGCAACATTGCTAGGGAGAATGGCAGAAGGTATATAGGGAGGTCCTATAGTTCTCAGGTAACTCTAGGATGTGGGATCCTATTCGTTCAAAGGGGAATTTGGATGCTGCATACCTCAATTCAGGAGAAATCCCTGGATGGACATGAACTGGCCTCTCAATACATTTTCCAGTTCAGTTGTGATTAACATAAGCTTGATATTTAATTATTCCTCTTGAGCAAATTTGAATCAGAAAATTAAAGTATATGGCATGATTAAGATCACCTTCAGGTTATACATAATCTCAAGACACTGAGTAGCCAAGTAGTAACACTTACTCAGTAATAATTTGACTGTTTCCTTGGACTTTGCTGGATCCTTGGTCTTAAGGAGACATGTAAAAAAAGTGAAGCCTTTTCCTTCATTGCCTGTGAAACTTTAACAGAGTCTGCCTCTTTAATTGAAAGTGACAGGGGCACAGTATGGACTACTGGTGATGCTGACATGTCTCTCAGATACCCTGGGCTAGGGGGTTCTGGGTTTCTTGACTTAGAGAATAGCATTAATCTAGAGAACAGGCAGATCTTTGAGCCCATGTTGACTATAGAATTTGCTGATGACATAATTTTACACACTAACAGTGGATGGGAATTTTACCTCTCCAGTAGTTTAGTACTGTTTCATATTGTGTGCAGAAATGCTCATTCACCCAGTTACAAACATTGTGTAAAGTAAGTTTTTATATAGACTACCCTTGCCATATGATTCTTTTTTCCCCCTCACACAGTTGAAATCCTTAGCACTTCAGTACCTGGAGTCCGGGTGTTCCTCACTCTCAGGGGGAACACAAAAGCTACCATAGCCTAATGTGATCTGTCTTAGGGAGCAACCCAGAGAGGGGCAAGCCCTGGAGCCTTTCTCAAAACCATCGTCTTTTTAAACTATTCACAGGATAGGTAAGTTCACTAAGGTAAGAAGCATTCAGAAATACGAAGATAAACAAGATAAAGAAATTTAACACTGTGCCGCTTGGGGCTCTGAAATTGTATTGGCGAACTGGACAACAAGAACAGATCGGATGACCTGCATTTGAGCCCCTCACTTCTCTCTCATGCAGGTCCTGGTCCCCATCCTCACTCCTTTCCTCAAATAGCCAGCATCAATTTCAAAGTTTACTTACAAGTTTATAGCTCTCAGGATAAATGAGGAGGAAACATACTTTGAATTAGATATAATCTTGAAAGTTACGAATGCTTCACAGCTGTTAAACTAGACTGAACCACTTACCAGAAGAATTCTCTTGTCCAACAAGACCAGTAAGTTAGGATAGAGAACTTTCATAATTACAGTTTTTTTCCTTTCTTCTCCTCATGAAATAAGAGTGATGAGAAATTGCTCCTTGAAATACTTCCAAAGGTATTGTTATTGTGTCCCTTTCCACTCCACGCATCCCTCTTCATGCATTTTTGCTCAGGCAACCAAGGACATAGAGTATTGGCAGAAACATGAAGTGCTTTTGTATAGGCCGTCTGTACATAAAAGTATAATTATTTATTTAATTTTCCCATTTGTATCATATTAAAGCTTTGTACAGTGTTTTAAGTTCTGTTTTAAAATTATTTTGTATTTTATTTTTATAACCTAGTAATAAAATATTCATTCCGCATGCAAACTCTAGTTCTCTTTGTCTGATGGTTTGGATTTCAAAAATGGGAAATATTATTTTTCTAACTTAATGAAGTTGTTGAATGCATCAGAGGTTATAAAATCAACAGGGAGCAGAAAGTGTTACTATAAATGTTGTACCACATCCATAAGTAACCTAGAAAAGAAGTGCTGGACTGAAAAGAAACCAGGTGTCCAGTATCCCTGCAGATAAAAACCAGGATTCAGGGAGGTGAGGAGATGGTTCCCCATGTAATAAAATTGAAATGTTAAGTGCTCCCTTCCAGTCCTTCCTTCTGTCCCTAGGCTGGAGGTACTTTGTCCTTCTCTGCAGGAAGCAGCCCTTCTAGCACTAGGGTGATTAATGCTCCCCACCATTCTCCCCTTTCCACCTGTAACCTTCCTCTGAACCAGAACAACTCGGGCGGCATTCACATGGCATTGCTTCATCCCTCCCTTTCTTGATTTATCTGTGAGTAGAAACATCCAAACAGCAGGCTCTCATGTTTTTCGAAGTAAGAAAAATTAATCACTCAGACTCCCATAAGCTAATGACGAATGGGCCTATTAACGTCTCAGCTGCAAAGTAGATTAAATATTAACTGGTGTAGACCCGTCATTACAACTCGTAAGGGAGGTCACGATACAGGCGAGTCTGTGTGTAGGGTGGCCCAAGGATTATAAAAGGCGTCCCTGCAAGTCCTCAATAGTTGATCGGTGCATGGTGAGTGCAGGAAAACCTGTGGGTACCGGTCGGACCGGGGTTTGAAAATTCACCCTTTGAGAAAGACAAGGTCAAAATGAGGTTAAGCTAACTTTATCACAACTTCTTTAGGGAGTTGACGGTTGGATCTAGAAAACACTTTATCACAACTTCTTCAGGGAGGTGACGGTTGGATCTAGAAAACTTAAAACTCTTGAAAGAAAAGTGCTTATCGCGGAAGACTAAGCAGGAGTCCCTCTCCTGAGAACAGTTCAGCTTCACCGTCAGGCCGCTCTCCTGGGCCCTCGATCTCCCTGCCGGGTCCCCCAGGCCAGGCAGGTCCCCCCTCAGGCCAGGGCCGCCGAGGCCCGGCCTCCCTGAGGGCGGCGCGGCGGCACTTCGCAGGCCACTAGGCTCCTGCTTGGCCTGCGGACCTGAGGCCCCAGCCGAGCCTCCGCCTGGGGAAGCCCCGCCGCGGCCCCGCCCCTCCGTCCCACGGCCCTCCGGTCGCCCCTCGGCGCCGACCCCGCCCCTCCCAGCCCGCCCACGGCGCGTCTGCGCCTGCGCAATCGCCTCCGAGTGCCCCGACCGGGATGGCGGCCGTTTTGGAGTCGCTGCTGCGAGGAGAGGTGTCGGTCACAGCCGCTGTGCGGTGGATCGCGCGCAGCGCCCAGAGTTCGGAGGTAACAGCGCCGACACGCCCCCCAGGCCTGACCCGAATTTCCGCGGGAGATACCACCCCTCGCGTTGCCCTCCACCAAGGTGCCTGGTTGTCAGCCCGGGCCGAGTGCGCTCCAACGGGGGGCCGCTGCCCGGGCCGTCCGCCTCAGCGCGCCCTGGGCCCCAGCTGCTCGCGGGCCCGCGCTGGCAGCCGACCCTTGCCGCTTCTCCCGCAGGATGACTCCGAGGAGGGGGCCGCGCTGAGCGCACTCCGGCCACTGCGGAAGGAATTCGTGCCGTTCCTGCTGAACTTCCTGAGGGAGCAGAGCAGTCGCGTCCTCCCGCAGGGCCCTCCAACGCCCGCCAAGGCTCCGGGCTCCTCAGCGGCCCTGCCAGGGAAGCCGGGGGGCCCGCCGCGGGGCGGCCGCGGGGCGCGCAGCCAGCTCTTCCCTCCGGCCGAGCCTTCGAGCGCCGCCGCCGCCGCCGAGGGCCCTTCGGCCCGCCGCAGTAGCAGGAGGCGGGGCCCGGGGCCGACCCGCGAGCGGGAAGGCCGCGGCCCCGGGGCCCTGGAGGAGGGGGTCGGCGGGGAGAGCCTGCCCTGGGCCGCCGCTGGCCGGAGGCCTAGGGGCTCTGGCAGTCCCGGCTGCCCCACCCTCGCACGGTCTGATCCGCCAAACCTCAGCAATCTGGAGGAGTTCCCTCCAGTGGGCTCGGTTTCCCCCGGCCCTGCAGGGTGAGAATCGGCCCTCATCCCGGCGCGAAGGATCTGCTAGGGACGTGTCTGTATGTTAGGGCTGGGCGCTGCGCAGGAGTGTGTGGGAATGGCCAGGCGGTTGGGGTTGAGAGAACTGTTAAAATGCTGAGAGGTGTTTTGCAAGGACCCAGCTGTTGTGGCGGTGGAGGGGCAGAAGCTTGAAGATAAGTATTTGAGAAAAACCTGGCCACTCTCAGCAGGACGAAGCCTTCACGCAGGATCAACCCAACTCCGGTGAGCGAAGAGAGGTCACTCTCCAAGCCCAAGACCTGCTTCACTTCACCCCCAATCAACTGTGTCCCCAGTTTCCAACCCTCAGTCCTGGACACTAGCCCTTGGGGCCATGGCCTTCCCCCAGGGTGCAGAAGTCTCCAAGAGGAACGGGAGATGCTCAGGAAAGAGCGGTATGGCCTTGCCGCTCTCCGGGATATCAGCTTCCTCACTGTGCGGGATCTGCGGGGCTCTCCCTGAGATTTACTTGACTCTTGGGAACCCTGGGTCTGTTTCGGTGGCTGTGGATGTCCTCTCCAGAGAAACGAGTATGGCTGTGGAGGGGAAGCGGGGTTGACTGCTCACATCTCTCTATCCCCATAGCTCTAAGCAGTTGCAGCAGTCACCTACTCCCACTTGTCCTACCCCAGAATCGGGGTCACCCCTCCCAAGCCGGACAGGAAACCTCACAGCTGAACCCGCTGACCCTGCCAGGGTGTCTTTCCGCCAGCGCCTGGAGCTGGTAGCCCTTGTGTACTCTTCATGCATTGCAGGTGAGCATCATGAGTATGGGGTGGACATGCCTGTAGAAGAATAGGGTGAGAGAACTGATAAGATGTATAGAACTGAGCCTTGGTTCTGAATGCTGTCCGTTACCCTTGGGTTTCTTTTTATATCCAGAGAACCTGGTACCAAACCTCTTCTTGGAGCTTTTCTTCGTGCTTCAGCTCCTTACTGCCCGGAGGATAGTGACCGTCAAGGACGGTGACCTTGAACCGAGTCCAGGAGCCCTAGGTTTGTGAGTGAGCCACTTTTTGAGAAATGGGATCTGGAGATGGAGGTTTTAACTGACAGCCTGGTACTGTCCTGCTAGGTTCCCTGGGAAGTCCACTGTTCCAGAGTGTCCACGATTGTGTCTTCTTCGCAGTGCAGGTTCTGGAGCATCAGTTTCAGTGAGTTTTCCCAGCTGAGGCATTTGCACCTTATTCCCATTGTCCATTTATTTTGGTCCTCTGGCACCTTAGGGTACATGCTTGCGCTTAACACAGGTGCCGCGACCCTGTGCCTTTTCCTACATGTAACTATTAATTTTATGTCAAGGCTATGAATTTAGCCCCTGAGAGACTCAGACTGCTCCGTTGTCTTTGTAGCTGACCTTTGGGTTCATGGCTGATGTTCTTGTCCTATTTTCTTGCTCCCTTTTCCATGAGGTCTCATTTCTGCCCCTTTTGCCTCCATCATCTTTAATACTTGGCCCATGACTTCACCTTACACACCTGTTCCCTGTTCCAGATAATGCTGTGTGTGGTGTGCAGGGGCCGACTTCCCACGTGCAGTCTGTGTCCCATTGTCAGCCATGTGTGCTCTTGTGCCTGTAGAGTTCTTTCCTACCTGGACAAAGGGACCTTGAAGCTGTTGGCTGAGAATGAACGACTGCTATGCTTCTCACCAGTTCTGCAAGGCCGCCTCCGAGCTGCCTATGAGGGCAGTGCTGCCAAGGTAGTGACCCCTTGGAGGTCTGCTAGCCTGGACCTGACCCTTCCCAGACTCCTGATTCAGGCAGCCCAGCTCACACCACTCTCATGTCTTGTGGGCCTGCTCTGGGGATGAAGCTTTCTGAGCATGAACTCTGCATGCAGACTTCCATCCTTAATGTCACTGCCATATTTCAGGTCTCTCTGGCGATGCCACCCTCTGCTCAAGCTGTCTCCTTTCAGCCAGAAACTGACAATCGTGCCAACTTCTCCAGTGACCGAGCCTTTCATACTTTTAAAAAACAGAGGTGATAAGAGAAGGGAAATTTTGGGGATGGGATGAGGCAGCATTTTCTCTAGGATTGGCAGCCTATGTCATTTCCATAGAAGCTAGGAGTTTGGCACTAGCAGGTGGTGGTTTAGCACCTTCCTGCCAACCATCATAAAGGCCAGTTAGCTTCGTTCTGTTTCAAGCCCATGGACTTGAACTTCTGACCTGAGCAGCCTTCTCACAGGTATGTGACTTTAGTCACAGGTTCTCAGAGAAGAGAGAGCTGAATCAGCTTTCACTACCCACAGAAATACATGAAGCATGTGACAGGCTGTCCCTGGATCTATAGCATTACCATCTTGCAGAGAAATTTAGGGAGAATAAGGATGGACTGTGGATAGTCCTGTTGTCTGTTCCTCTGAGCTAGCAAAGATGCTCTTGGATCAGCTGTGCATCAGCTGATCGGGCACTCGTGTGTGTGTGTGTCCAGGGATGTGTTTTATGAGGTGCTTCGAGAGTGGGAAGATCGCCATGAGGAGCCTGGCTGGGATTTTGAGAAGGGCTTGGGCAGCAGGATCAGGTAGGTGCTCACGCACACTGGTCACATTGTCTGTCTTGCTTCCAGCTGTGAGCAGCTTAGTAGTGCTTGGGTAGCTGATAGGAGGAAGGCTTTTCCTCCATTCCTTTCAGCCCAGAGTGTTACCTTCTCTCCTTAATCTCTCCCATTATTGCCAACTCTGCCTTTACTCAGAAGGGATTTGTCTCTAGCTCCTTCCACTCAGAAATGACTCATACTTGTTCTGTGACGGCAAATGCTTAGAAAAATGCAAAACTCTTATTCCAGGTTGCTTGAGTTTGGGCCTAAGTCTCACTGGTTAGACCCTTTTCAACCTCCATTTTCTCCATGGTTTAGTTTGGCAGTTCTGAGAACTTTGCATAGCTAGATAGTTAATGCAGAAAGAATACCCTCTGCCACTGATCTGCCTTCACACTGGTCATGATGTTCACTGGTGCACAGTGTAGACCAAAGATTAGAGGGGTGGTATTATCTCTAAGTTTGGTTAAGTGTTATCTCTAGCCTTTGAGGGATCTTGTTGCTGAGGAGGGTGTCCCTTACCTCTTCTGTGGCAAAGGTCTGCTCAAGCCCCTGATAAAGGGCTGAAAGGCCCAAGGATTGGCCTGTTCATTCAGACCTTTCTCCCTGCTTCCTCCTTTGCTCACACTCCATTCCTGTCTCTTGTCCTCAGAGCCATGATGGGTCAACTCTCTGCAGCCTGCAGCCACAGCCATTTTGTTCGGCTTTTCCAGAAACAACTTCTCCAGGTAATAGCCCCAGCAGGAGATTATTCTATAATGGACAGTAGTAGGTGGTATAGGCTGCCAGGTAATGGCTGGCACTTTGGGTTAGTGGGAATAGCCAGGCAGGTCCTGGGCTGGCATATAATAAGAATTCTGTTCCTTGGCTGGTGGTTGAAAATTGGACAGCCAGAGTGGAGCCGGAGTGCCCTCTCACATACCCTGCAGCCCAGCCTTCCTTCAGACTTTACCATTTCCATGCCCTTGGTTTGTGCTGTAGTGGAAAGAGCATGGGCTTAGGACTCAGGCCTGTTTTCAAATCCTAGCTCTGGTGACCCTAAGCAAATGTTTAACCTTTGAGTTTCAGTTTCTTTGCCTGAAAATAAGAATATAATCCCTACCTGGAAGAATGATCTGTGGCCCCTGATAAGTGTTGGCATTCCATAAATGTTCATTACTTCCTCCTCTATTTTTCAGTCCTTCTTTTCAGAAAAAGTTACTGGTTTTTCAACTTCTCTCCTTCCCCCACCCCAGATGTGTCAGAGCCCTGGTGGTGCTGGTGGTACTGTCTTGGGTGAGGCTCCAGATGTGTTAAACATGCTTGGAGCTGACAAGCTGGGGCGGTTGCGGCGACTGCAGGAAAGGCTTGTGGCCCCTCAGAGCAGCGGCGGGCCCTGCCCACCACCCAGCTTCCCAGGCTGTCAGGGCTTCTTCAGGGATTTCATCCTGAGTGCGAGCAGGTAAAGGCCCCCTGTGTCTTCCAGGGAGGGGCAGAGGCCAGGAGAGGTCTGTTTTCCCAAAAGGGCAGACAGTTGTTCTCCCTTCTTTCCCTGGAAGGTAACAGGGTGGGCCTGGGGGACATCTGGCTCCTAGATCACACTTTCTGCCTCCATCTCTCTCCTCATTCTTTTACCCTCTTATGTAACTTCATTGCCCCTTGGCTTCCCTTCTCTACCTGCTGAACCTTTCTGTCTTGAGCACCTCTTCTCTATTCTGCTTCTTCCTACACCTCTTCCAGTGCATTTGTTTGTTTGTTTGTTTGTTTCTTGTTTGGTCCCCACCTCAGCTTCCAGTTTAATCAGCATCTCATGGATAGTCTGAGTCTGGAGATCCGGGAGCTCAATGGCCTTGCCCTGCCGCAGCCTGAGCCCAGTGATGAGGAGGAGGAGCCGGATGCGGACTGGCAGGTTGGAGAGCCGATCAAGGGGGATGACAGGGTTCTGCCTTAGGAGGGAGGTGTTATGTTCAAGGAGAACTTTGTAACCAGATTTGGAATTGTTCTAGAAGACTTATGCTTTAGGTCTTTTCCTCTCTGATCCCATGCAGGGTGAACGGAGGCAGTTTACTGTGGTTCTGCTCAGCCTGAGGCTTCTGGCTAAATTCCTGGGCTTTGTGGCTTTCCTGCCATACCGGGGGCCTGAACCACCCCCGACCCGGGAGCTCCAGGACTCCATTCTGGCCCTGAGGAGCCAGGTGAATGGGGGCCCTGGTAAGGAGGGAGTTGGGAGAAGCTTCGAGGCACTAGAGAAAAGGTCCCCCAAGCCCGCCTGCTGACAGAGCACTGCTCACCAGGTGCCACCTGCCCTGGACGTACGGGCTCTGCTGCATCAGGGGCTGCGGGCCCGCCGAGCGGTGCTCACTGTGCCCTGGCTGGTGGAGTTCCTTTCCCTTGCTGACCACATTGCTCCCATGCTGGACTATTACCGCAGCATCTTCACTCTCCTGCTGCACCTACATCGGTGAGTGGAGAAGAGGCGAGGCGAGGCTTGGAAAAAGGGTGTATGAGAAGGGTGTTGAGGCTGCTGGTGATGAAGAGGGCTGAGTAGCGTGGGCCTCCTGGGCAGCACCTCGGCTGTAATCTTCCCACAGTGGAAAGGCAGGATTTGACCCACAGGAAAGACAGTGGGCAACTATTTGTACTTTCATGGGCCCTTTTCTATTTCCTGCATTTTTTTTCTCAGCCCAGCTGAGACGGAGCACAGATTGGAAGGGACCGTGAGGAAGTCCTAGCCACCTCCACGGTAGCAGTCCCTTTTAGGTCTGCACTTGAGAATTACCTTCCCAGAGATAGCTTTCTTTTACTCTGTTCCATTTCTTTCTTGGCACAAATTCAGCTCACACTCTCATTTGCCTTTTAGAAGCTTGGTCTTGTCAAAAGAAAGTGAAGGGGAGATGTGTTTCCTGAACAAGCTGCTGCTGCTTGCTGTCCTGGGCTGGCTTTTCCAGGTTGGTGGAGTAAGGGTACCAACTGGGGAGGTGGAGGGGCAGCTGCAGTGGCTGGAGACAGGGAACAGGAGAATGTCTGAGTCTGACCGAGTTCAGGGCCCTATGATGAAGGGTCAGAGGGGATAAGGGAGTTACCATTTTCAGAGGAACTTTACTTTGAACCTGGTGCCTAAGCCCTGGAACCATGATAGGAGGCATGATGAATCTAAGGTGCTGATGGAGCTTGCACTGCCCTGATCTCTTGCCAGATTCCCACTGTCCCTGAGGATCTCTTCTTTCTGGAAGAGGGTCATGTCTTTGAAGTGGACACTGTAGCTTCAGAGCACGGCTTGGTAAGTGTTGGGGTCCAGCCAGAGCAAAGGGAACCCCAGGAATGTAGGAGGCAGGCCATCTAGGGTGACCCAGCAGGAGACAGCCAGGATGGAGGCTGAACTCTTACATGGCTGTCCCTTGTCTGACATGCTGGGAAGACAGAGAAGCCTGTCTGCATTCCCAGTGTGGCCTGTTCTCTTCCCCAGGATGGCATGCCAGTGGTGGACCAGCACCTGCTCTACACCTGCTGCCCTTATATCGGTGAGGACACTGCTGTCCCCAGCCCAGAGGGTCCTCATCCTTGGCCTGTCCTTTCATGAGTAGCCAAAAGGCATTCCATGGGCTGACACCCTAATATGCTGTTCTGTTCTTAGGCGCTCCCTGGCAATCCTGGCCTCATTAAGCTTCTGTGGAGTAGTCTAAGATGCTTGGTGGGGTGGGGCTGTTTTTGGAATTAATCACTGGCTTCCCTGATGCAGGAGAACTCCGCAAACTGCTTGCTTCATGGGTATCAGGCAGCAGTGGTCGAAGTGGGGGCTTCGTGAGGAAAATCACCCCCACCACCACCACTGGCCTGGGAGCCCAGCCTCCTCAGAGCCCCCAGGGCCTGCAGGTAAGGGGCTGGGGGAGGCCGGGGGGCCACCCTGGGAAAAGGAATTGAGCCATTCACTGCACTGCTTCTGCCTCCCCACAGGCACAGCTGGCTCAAGCCTTTTTCCATAACCAGCCGCCCTCCCTGCGCAGGACTGTGGAGTTTGTGGCAGAGAGGATTGGCTCTAACTGTGTCAAACACATCAAGTGAGCATGGGTTGAGGGGACTGGGAATGGAGGGGAGGTAGAGGGTCCGGTCCCATTCCCTTACCATCTCTCGCGTTAACCCCCAGCACCTTGTTGCCACACTGAGGAAAGTCAGTTGGGGAGCTGAAATTGCTGAAATTGCTCTTGATTCAAAATTCTTTGAAGTTCCTTCCAGCCAGGTTTCTTAAGTTTGCAGCACTTTCTGATTTGACCCTTCTAACTACCTCCAAACCTTGTGTCCCTGCTGCAGGGCCACTCTGGTGGCAGATCTGGTGCGCCAGGCAGAGTCGCTTCTTCAGGAGCAGCTGGTGGCACAGGGACAGGAAGGGGGAGATCCAGCCCAGCTGTTGGAGATCTTGTATTCACAGCTGTGTCCCCACGGGGCCCAGGCACTGAGCCAGGGGAGGGAGTAAGAGACACCAGTCTATTTGGACCCTTTCCTCTCTGCTTTTATTTTTCTGATCTATTTCCTCTTTTACACTCAGCCCCTTTATTCCATGTCCTCTCCCCACCCTTCCTTTCATTTTTCTTTTGCCTGCATAGGCTCATATATTTGGCTTTCGGGTTTTGGGGATGCAGAGTCCAAAGCTGAAGTGGAAGAGTGGGTGGTTGGCTGTGGCTGTGGCACTCCCCCTTGCATCTGGGTGGGAACTCAGCTGATGGGTGCGTTCAGCACAGTTCCTTCTGTAAGCCAGGCTGAAATGCCTAGACATCACCGACCTCCTCTGCCTCCTGGCAGGTTCTGCCAACAGAAGAGCCCTGCTGCCGTGCGGGCGCTGCTTCCCGAGGAGACACCAGCAGCTGTACGTAGGAAGGAGGCCTGGAGCTGGTGGGCTGGGCGGTTGCTGATGGGCGAGGTGTGCGGCGAGGTCCTGTGCGCACGTGCGTGTGAGGCCGCTGCTGTCGGTGGGGCAGTGCTTCACGTGGGCGCTCATCATCCCCAGCCCTCCCGACCTTGCGGTCCTCCTGTCACAGGTCCTAAGCAGCGCAGAGAACATAGCTGTGGGGCTTGCAACAGAGAAAGCCTGTGCTTGGTTGTCAGCCAACATCACAGGTAAGGGGCCAGGAGCATGGCTGGCCAAGTTTTGCAAAAGTGGACTGCAGGAAGTCGGAGGCCATGTGGGGACATGGGACTCAGCACCAGCTGGGGACGGCGAAGGCTGAGGGTCAGTGGTGAGACTGCGCAGTGCTGCTCTGGTGACCTTTTCTGCTATTCTCCCCGACCCACAGCACTGATCAGGAGAGAGGTGAAGGCAGCAGTGAGTCGCACACTTCGAGCCCAGGGTCCTGAACCAGCTGTCCGGGGGGAGCGGAGGGGCTGCTCCCGTGCCTGTGAGCACCATGCTCCCCTCCCCTCCCACCTCATCTCCGAGATAAAAGTACACAGCTCCCCTATCCCTTCGGCTCCCCCCACCCGCTCTTTCTTGGCCTCCCTCCTTTCTCACGTCCGCTCCAGTCAGTATGTGTGGCAGCTTTCTGTGGTGTCCGCTAGTTCCTGTTTCGAGCGTTACTGAGTGGGATTAGGTAGGGCAGAGCCGAAGAGAATGGTGTCCTAATTGCTCTTCTCTGAACCACCCACAAGGGTGAGGGGAAGAGGGTAGATACAAACATTTTTGTTGAAATATGAAGTACCCAGATGTTGAGGGGAAGGAAGTGGTGAAAGGCTGTCTGGTGTAGTAGCAAAGTCTCTAAGGAGGCAGCCACCCAGTACTGGGATAGGAATTCAGAACTGTTCTGTGTGAGATGTGATGCTTATTTAGTTACAGGCAGTAAGGATAAACCAGTGCTCTTGATTTAAAAAATTTAGGCACTAATTTTTGGCAGTTGGATTTGGTCCATGGGCTGTTTGGACTAAATCCAACCTGCCGCTTGTGTCTGTCAATGAAGTTAAGGGGACACAGCCACGCTCGTTCATTTACAAATTGTCTAGGGCTGCTTTCCTGCCCCGAGTTGAGTAGTAGGGCAGAGTTGAGTAGTAGGGCAGAGAGACCTTGTGGCCTGTTTGACCATGGGCTCCGATAGGAGAACAGGAGGAAAGATTTGGCCCAGGGACTAAGGAGGAGTGACTAAAATGGGAGAGTTATATAGGAGGGAAAAGAAAGTATGTAGGAATATATAGGAGAAGAAATGGGCCCTGAGCTACCAGTTTTCAACATGCAGAAAATTTCTGTACAGAAACCTCTACTCTCCTAAGATGAGCAGAGAAGCCCAAGGAATATACTAGGACATGTGTGCAGTAGGATGGTTCCCCTAAATGCTTTTAGCATGAGATGTTCTCTGGGAATTGGCCAGGTATGGCTTTGTCCCAAGACAAGTGACATCTCTTGGGCTATTTGGCAGAACGTTGTCCCTGAGCTTACCTGCTCCATCTGTTCCTGTGTTGTCCACTTGGTTGCTTCTCCCAGCTGTGCTGTCCTGCCCAAGCCCCAAGTCTAATGGCACCTTGGCCCAGTCTGTTCACTGCAGGGACCCCGTCTTCCCGCTCCTTGCGCCTCCCCCTACCGGCTGACCTCCCCCCCTGCAGCCACGCTCTCTGTGGCGTCGTGGGCCCCGCCTGCTGTGGTCTCATGTGCCCCTGCCCTACTCTCCCCAGGATGTACTCTCTCTGGCCGCAGGGCCCCGGGCCCCTGAGGAGGGAGTTTCCCCGGAGCATCTGGAGCAGCTCCTAGGCCAGCTGGGCCAGACACTGCGGTGCCGCCAGGTGAGATGTGGCAGATGCTCTCCTTGTGTGTCCATGTGCCTAGTCTAATAACCAGAGCTGCCCTGGTCAGGGCTGCTGTCCTAAAGAGGTGCTAACATCCAGGGTCTCCCTGCTTTTCCCCCCCAGTTCCTGTGCCCACCTGCTGAGCAGCATCTGGCAAAGTGCTCTGTGGAGTTAGCATCCCTCCTCGGTATGGCTCCTTTCCATCATGTCACTCTCTTGCCAGATCCCCCAGACCTCAGGATTGGGTATAAGCAAGATTAGAAACACACACCTTTTTTCTGCTTCCAGGAGCTGGCTAGGTGGCCTGGCCTCCATAATTAAAGCTTGGCTTTCCTCTCTTCCCATAGTTGCAGACCAGATTCCTGTCCTAGGGCCCCTGGCACAGCACCGGCTGGAGAGAGGGCAGGTTCGAAGGCTCCTACTTGTGCTGCTATCCCTATGGAAGGACGACTTTCAGGTGCCAGTCCCTCTGCAGCTACTGCTGCGCCCAAGAAATGTGGGGCTCCTGGCAGACACTCGGCCGAGAGAGGTGAGCTTTTGATTTTGAGGTCAGGGGTTGGGGAATGGAGGCAGGTGGGCTTCTTAGCCCCCCTGAGTCATGTTCTTACATCCTTTAGTTCCCCTAATCTGGCAGCTGAACTCCATGAATCTCAGGTCTCCTCAGCAGCTCTGTCCTTTGTAGCGGTAAGGGTCACTATGCAGGCCTTCTAGCCGCCCTGACCTTCTCCCCCGTGTGTGTTGCAGTGGGACCTGCTGCTGTTCTTGCTCCGGGAGCTGGTAGAGAAAGGTCTAATGGGACGGATGGAGATAGAGGCCTGCCTGGGCAGCCTCCATGAGGCCCAGTGGCCAGAGGTAAGAAGTCCTCATCGCCTCTTACTGGAGAAAGAAGAGGTATCATATGTCCCTTTTATCTTGAAAGGGGGCAAGAGAAAGGGCCTGGCACTCTTAAGACCTTCCCAAAGCTCAGTGGATTTTGTTAAGTGTCTCCAGGACCACCCTGAGATGGGGCAGCTGCTCTGGTGGCCTTCACACTTGAGTAGCTATTGTATGAAAGACTGTCATCAGTGGAGGAAAGGAAGATGGAAAATGGGTAGTTGGTAGCATGACATAGTGAAGATATATGGCTCTTAAATTCAGAATTACCTGGGTTTTAATCTGAGCTAGTACTTAAGGTTACTGTGATTTAGGGAAAATTAACCTTCATTTCTTCATCTGCAAAATGGGAATAATTTATACTTCATAGACTTGGCAAGATGAGATAATGCGCAATCAAGTACTCAGTAGGTAGTGGTAAGTACTCACTAGGTGGTTCGGAGCCTCCTGCCACAGTTCACTCCCCCTGCTGGAACTTGAGCATCCCAGAGTACTAACGGGGCAAGGTTTCAGGTCATTTCAATATAAAGGCCATTGGGAAAATACAGCTAGGGTTTGATATTTTAAACTGATTTTTAGTAGAAAGGATGAGCCAGCCAGAATTATGTCTGCTGCTTCTGTCATCTTTCTGTTTATTCCAGGACTTTGCTGAAGAATTAGCAACACTGTTCAACCTGTTTCTAGCTGAGCCCCACATGCCAGAACTCCAGCTAAGAGCTTGTGAGCTGGTGCAGCCAAACCGGGGGACTGTGCTGGCCCAGAGCTAGGGCAGGAAGTGGCCCTGCCTAGGGTGTCCCCTCGGAATGCTGGAGTACCACCTGACTGTGTCGCCCCAGGTGCCCACTGCTGCCCTTGCTGGGGTGGGAGGAGCTGAGTCTAATCAGGCTTCCTCCTCACGTATGAAGGAAGTGAGCCGCTGCCTGGCCTCCCACTGACTGCAGGCTCACTGCTGTGAGTCTTGGAGGATGGAGGGTTCCCCTGATCAGGATTATGGTGGAAAAGCCTAGAGACTCCAGTCCTGGAGCAGAAGAGTTGGTGTTTATTATGATACAAAATGAAATGATGTGTATGGGTTTGTCGACATGGGATTTGAGCCCTACTTGGCTGCTATCGCAGCATTTCCTAAAATGTGGTTTGGGAAATCAGAGGCAAATGACTTCAGCTTAACTTGTGAGTAAACTTAAAACATGAATCTTGAGAGTCTACATTTTCTTACCAGCAGGATCTGGACTGCCATCTCCTTATAAATGTACAACATAAGAAGTAGGGGTCACCTGACAGAAACCTGTCTTTTACCCTGCACCTCCCCTGCCTTCAGGCCTGTGCAGGCAATTCTCAATCCTAACTCCATCCAGGGGCCAAGCACGGGCAGAACATTAGAGCTTTTTAAAATAAACAGTTCTCTTCACCAAGGCCTTCATGTCTAGTTATTTTCACCTGACTCTTCCCTGTAGAAGGCTGTAGTCTGAGAGAGGCTTGGAGGTGGGCATTGATAGGGCAGAGCTGTATTAGTGGCTTGGTCACTTAGCAATGCCTAAATGTTCCATCAAGTGAAACCCTGCCAGCCAGAGAGCCTGAGGCCCTGTTAACTCCTTGCCAGCAGTACTGAATTCTGTGCAACTTCTTTAAAATTTCAGGATAAAAAGTGCAAAGTTTCCACTTACCAGATACTCAGTACTGAACCAGATGGTGGGGATGCTTGTTAGTGTTGGATTTAGTTCTGAACAAAAGCATTCTAAATGTCTGTAAGTGACCCTTGATGATGTATATTATGTTTACTCCTGTAAAATGCATGGGTTTCCTACTTTACTTAGGCAGGCAGTACAGAGATTCAGGCTCTGTTGTGGAAAGAAGGGTATTGAGTGAACTGAAAAATCTTGTCTGTGCCTATGTGTGTATTTCTTGGGGGAAAAGCTCATAACTGTTAGAAGCCTCTGACCCAAGGAAGGGCAAGATTCTCTTGGCCTTGAGGGGTTGCTGTGTGACCTTAGTAAAGCCAGTGGGGAGCCCTCACAGTAAGTTTATCACAGAATCCACAGCGGAGGTGTCTGTCACCACTTTGTGATCCTGATTCCACCCAGTCAGGCTGTGCCTTTCTTGCCCTCTACTCATTGTTTCACAAGTGTCTGCATCTGAAACTTTTTTCATCTCTTCATTTTCAAGACCTTCATGCTTTAAATCCAATTTTTATGCTACAGCAAATTCAGCAAGTTCTGAATGTCTGGGAACTAAAACAGTTTTAAGCAATATTTTATCTTTCTACACCCATTAGGGATGGCTGAGTGAAAGCACTGTACCTGGAAGATGACCCCAAGGTAAGCAGCACCTTCAGCCACCGGGGCTCAGTGCGAGGTGGGCAGGCAGGCAGAGAGCAGAGGAAAGCCTGAAGCCCCAAGGATGCTGGCTTAAAGCCCACTCAGATAAGCTTAGCATGGGCCCAGTTGAGGACACATAATGCTGACCTGTGTGAACCCTAATGGTTTGCTGTAGGCAGTAAGCTAACAGGAGACAGGCAGCTAATCAGCTAGTGAACTGCCTTTCTGTAGGTCTGCTCTCTACTAATTGCCTAAAACAGTGAATTCCAAAGCCTCAGGATCACCTGGGGCTTCCTAGTACCACCAATATGTGGGCCCCGCCCCAGGCCTATCGAATCAGAAACAGGGTGGGGCCCAGCCTGGGGTGTAACAAAGTCCTTCAGGTGATTCTGATACACTGGGAAGTTCTGAGAACCCACCTGTCTAAACCAAAATCTGACTTCATCATGATCATTTAGATCCAGGTACCTGGATTACCTTTGACGTTTTGCATTTTGCTACCCGATCAGCCTCAGTCAATATTCTTTAGATTGCTGGCTCACAGGCCATATGTGTGGCTTCTCTAGGTCGCATCTGGGCTATCATGTTCAGAGTCCCATTGCTGGCTCTGCCTCAGAAGCCCCAGAGGAGCACACCTGTTGAAGAGCTTACTTTCAGGGGACTGGTCACTGTCGGGTGTGGCAGTGACTGTTCTGGAATCCTCATGTTCACATTGGGACCACAGCTGGCCATAGATGGACTACTTATGTGCAGAGCAGTGCCAAGCTCATGGGAACCACTCGGTGCACACAGGGAATCTGTATGGCTTAAAACTGGACTGTAGTTACTGCCATCAAGGCCTGTAGGCTAAATTCTAAGCTCAAATGACACACTTAGGCTATCTCAGGGTAGTCTTCACTAATTAAAAGCACACAATGGACTTTAAATTCCAGGTGTTCTGACCTTTTCAATCAATAATCATATTTATATGAAAAGAGATGGGAGTACATAAATAGGGCATTAAACATATCAAGTGTCACCAAGAAAAACAACCAGAAAATTAAGTTTAAAAATAAAAGCAATTTTAAGATTTCAATCAATAATACATAAATAACCTGATCTGAGGTAAGAGAAAAAAAATCCTGCAAACATGTTTAGAAATTAAATCTCTGCTGTACTATACAGAAACTTACCTTTCCACATCTTTCCCATCCCCATATAATCACCCTCTGCCACCAAAAACTCTGGGTGCCAGAAAGGAAGCGGGGAGTTTCTCCCACCCCCACCACTCCCAGGTAACTACGGAATCCTTCAAGCTCAGCCAGGCTAAGATGCAAGTCACCTGAACCCATCTCCACCAGCCCTGGAAGAGGCGGGGCCGCAGCAGCAGCATAGAGAGCTTGAGAGACCACTGGAGGTGGGACAAAGGCCCTGAGTGAGGTACGGAATGGAACTGGGCTTCCTCCTAACAAACCACTTAGCTCCTCCAGGAGTACCACCTTCAAAAGATAATTTTTCATCTCTGAAACTCCTCCCACTTTCGCAGCACCCCTCAGTCCTCCTCACAGAGCCAGGCCCTGACCCCAAATCTGTCTAACCTACTTCTACAGTGGTCTTCCCATTCTGCTGAGCTCCAGAGGTGGCTCCATGACAGAGCCCTGCTCAGTACCCCTGCCTGAGGCAGAGACCCCAGTGTTCTCTCCTGTGAGGGAAAGGAATGGGGGAAGCAGACATTAATACCAAAGCATTTTGTAAAAATTCAAGAAGGAGAAACGATTCTTAATCAATGTTCTGATTTGTGCAGTGGTTTTTTAAAAGCCATTTTCCTGTTTTGGTATTTTCTAACGCTCTTTCCCACAGTGGAGCTGAATGCTGGATGGAGGCAGATTCTGAGCAGAGTCTTGCCCAGTGGCTTCCTGCTTCCATACCAATTTTGCTGGGGCAAAATAAGGAAGCACCATGCCCAAGCACTGCAGTCTCCCAGCTCTGCTGGCTGTGTCCAATCCTGGTCTTGGTCAGCTTGTCTGCCATAAGGCTCCAGAGGTGGAAAAGGCGGCTGAGAAATCCAAAAAGGTGAGTTGAGCTTCATTCCCTCTGGATGGCTGGGGCCAGGAGGTCAGGCCCCGTAGCTCTGCTGAGGTGCAGGCTGTGACCAAGGGCTGACTGGGCTCTGGCCACTCGGGGCTCCATGCTTGCTGCCAGACTGCCCATGGCAGATCACCTTAGCTCTTGCGTCTGGGCGCAGAGAGTAACAAGCTGCCCCAGCTTCGCTGGAAGGTCCCGGGCCTGCACCATCCTGACAGTGAGATGCTAACTACCAAGGAAGGAAGCCAGTCTGGCTATGACCAGTGGCTGCTGTTTGATGAAGGAGCTTAGGAGCTGAGGAGGGAAGCCTGGAGCCCCAAGTTCTACCTGAAATAAAGCAGAGGGAAGATCTAAGGGTGCAAATAGACCTGAGAATGGGTCAGCGCACGCTTTAGCCACAAGCAACCACCCAGGCTGTCGTGATGGGAGAAACTCCTCAGACTGTTCACAGGGCCCTGGGCTCTGCTGTTCAGATCTGGACATCGGCTTCACCTCCAGATGACAAAGTACCTGGGGAAACTGGGAGTGGAGAGCCAAACCAAATGGGTCATACTCTGCTCTGCTAAGGCTGCTGCTTCTGCCTTGCAATGGCTCATCCACCTCCTGTGGACCCTGGAACAGCCAATAGAGGTAGCAGCTTAGAGAGTACTGATTACCTGGTCTCCTTCTTTGCTGATCACCCAACTCCCCTTACTGTGACCCTGACCCTGCAGAGGGTCTGGGCACTGAGGGTGTTGAGCAGCCAAACAAATACTCCTGTGAACTGTGGGATCAAATCAAGGTGTGCTGTGAGTCCAGCTACACGAGATGTGTCACCTGGGCCAGGTAGATGACTCTGGTGGTCTCCTTCCCTTCCACTGTGAGGGGTTGCAGGATCCAAGCACTGGGCAGTATCTCCCCTCGGATCATCTCTCTGCTGGGTCTCGGCATGAATATGTCATACACAGACTGAGCTGCCATGACAGACAGGTGCCCCTGGGGACAAAGAAGGATATCAAACAGGCTGTAGCACAGTCAGTACTGCAGATGGCAACTATGGGACCCCCTGCCCCCACCCCCCTCCCAGCTGGCCCTCCTACCCCCAGAGGGTCTGATGCCCACAAAGACTGCGTCTCACAACGCTCCAGCCCAAATTTCCCTACACTATCTTTACCACCAGCAAGGCAGGCACCTCTTTGGCTTCCACGCAGACACAACAGAAATCCCGTGGCTGCTTCAGTGCACACAGGGCGGTATTGCACACCAAATACACTGGAGGGTCAGGATGGGGAGAGTCAGATGTGGATAGACCTAGTGCTAAATCCTTCCTAACTTAGGAGCCCCTCCAACACCCCATCATTCTGTAACCTGACAGCCAGCAGGACCTGGCACCCCTGGGGACAGAGAGCATTGTGAGTCCTGCCTATGTGATGTGTGTCACACAGGCAGGATACTTGAGTGCAGCCAGTATCATGGCAGGCACCTGGACCAGCCTTCACGTCACCCTCATCCCCGCCCAGCTGGCCCTCCTTCCCCCAGAAACTGCTTCTCCCAACACTCTAGCCCAAGCTCTTCCATGCCAGCAAGGCTGGCAACCTGAATAATCCAGAAGCAGCCTCCAACCCTGGTACCCCTGTTCTCTGGGCTCACCCAGGTTGATGTTTTTGGTCACCCGCTGATGCAGCCTTGCCGTCTGGATGGGTTTGTGGTACAGGGGCCACAGGGTGGGGTCACTTACAGCTGCCCACACGTGAGAGAGCGGCTGGGACACCATGCCTGCCCCCAGGAAGCCATGCCGAGTAGAAGAAAATGTTTTGTAGTAAAGCTGCACCTCCTGTTCCTTACCCTGATAGCTAGGGAAATAGCAAAGATGGGGCAGAGGAGGAGGAGGTAAAAACCAGGTTCCAGGGTCACAGAGGAGGTGCTCTTGGCCTCAAGAAAGCTGAGGTGGAGAAGAACAGGAGAAGAGAAGGTTAGCAGGAAAACAGCGTGAGAACACGATGCCATTTAAAGGAACTTACTTCCAGCCGGCTGCTGCCTGGTGGCTGAAGAGGTTATGCAGATTATCTGAGCAAGCAGCCATCACCTAGGGACACAGAGACCACAGCCAAATTAGTGGGCATGGTACAAACAGGACCCTTAGATTAGTCCCTTGGGCCAGGGTTTACTGACTTCCCCTTTTATTGAGATGGAGAGCCACTGAGGAATCCCCTGTCAGACTGGCTGGCTCTCATGTGTCTTGTTCTTCCCCTCCTGACTGCCTCCGCACAGAGCAGAGGTCTGCTAAAGGAACTGTGGGACAAGTGGACCAGTTCCTTACGTCAGCCATAGCGTTGTCCACGACGTGCTTGGCCAAATTCTGGTAGGAGGAGAAGCAGGTCCCCATGCTGGACTGGCTGGATGGAGAACAGCAGCAACTACTCAGGGAGGCTCTGTGGCCTACAATAAACAGGTGGAGGCATCAGGACTGCATAAGCACCAGGGCCTCAGCACAGCAACAGTCTCCTGCAGGACAGTGACTTGAGGCAAATAACCTCAGGCCAGTGACTCCCTAGGATCTAGCAGATGTCAGCCCCCAAAATCCCCAAAGCACAAAGGTGGCTATTCCCGCTTCCCCCCCCAACTCACTGTAGGCTAAGCTCTTCCAGGAGGACCCAGCCAGAATCAGGTGACTATTCCTCACTGCAGAACGGTCTTGTACATCCCCTATCCAGGAGTCTCTGGAGTCAGGCAAGTGCATGTTCCCCTGCAGAATGGAAGATGCTCAGGACCAGAGCAGAGGAGGAGGGAGAAAGCTGAGTGCCAGAAAGCCAGTGTAGATTATCCTCTGCCTCTGAACTGCAACAACAGCTTTCGACCTAAAGGCCCCATGGAAAAGATCTTCCCCATTGGGGTTACAGGAGGCCGTATGCCCCTGAGAAGTCAACAGCCAAAGATAGCAGCCGCTGGACAATCTCTCCTTGCCCTTCAAGCCACAGGCTCAGAGGTAGCAGCATGTAGGAGAATTCCAACAGAGATCAGAATGAACGGGGTCTAGGATGGCTATGGCAGCCCTCTGCACCACTGTGCAACAGAAACAGGGCCATGGCTGGAGCTGGGTTTAGTGTGGGTAACAAATGAAGCCCGAGTGGGAGGTGGAAGGGGAGGAAAAGCAACAGGCTGTGAAAACCTTGCCCTTTGGCGCCGGCCCCAGATTCAGCAGAGAAGTCACAGGTTCTAATTTGGGACCAGATGGGGATGATCATTTGGATCTGCAATGTGATCACCCCACATTTACCTCAGCCACCTTCTCAGTTACATGACCACTGATCTCTCCTGGACCTAACAGGTAGCCACCCTTCTGCTGCTATCATCAGTTCCTAGTTTATCGCTACTTTAAAGACAAGAGGTGAACAGAGACACTTCTATCTCCATCCTTGCTACCTCTTCTCTTACTCCAACATAGAAGTGGTCTCTCCACTTCAGGCAGGTCCCTCTGCCTCCAACTGAAATCTTGTGCCTCCTTCTTAGGGCCCTTTCACTACTGTCTCTTCACTTGTTGCCTCCATCTCTCACTCTTCACTGTCCTTCCTATTAGTGTGTGAGAATGCAAAAATCTCTCACAACTTTAAAAACCTTCCTCTCCAGGTGTCTACTCTCCGACCCTTCACAGATAAGCTCACTGAAGTGATTGCCACCATTTACCATCTCCCACTGCTCACTCCTTTCTAAACCCACTCACATCTAGCATTTGCCGCACTGCTCCACCAAGCAGCAATTTCCAAGGTCCCCAACATGTCCATGTGTCTGGATCTGATGAGCAGCTCCCAGTACTCATTTCACTGAGCCTCTCCGCATGCTTTGACTCTGCCAGCCCTCACCCTTGCACCTGAGATAGTCTCTTCCCAAGTCTACTTCCTACTGTAGCAGGTGCTTCCTCCCAGTTTCCTTTGATAGCACTTCCTTTTTAAACATAAGTGGATATTTTGGAAGTTTTTCAAGACTCAGTCCTAGGCCCTTTTTTCTCCCTCAATAATGTCCTGGGACATATGGTACACTGATGACATCTCACAATAACCAGCCATGGATTATTTAACAAATATTGCTGAAATGTGAAAAAAAAAAAAGGTTACATCAGAGACCCTTTTCATACATTGTGCCAAAATAAATTCCTTATGCTTTTTGGCTCAAAAATATATGCTATGGGGCAGAATTTATTATTATGAATTATAAACTATAAGAAAATTTAAAGTCTTACAGTGGGGAAAGGCTTTCCTAAATGGCACAAAATCCAGAAGCCATGAGAGAAAAGACTGATAAAAACAAAACCATAGTAGGAGCCAAGATGGCGGTGTGAGTAGAGCAGTGTAAATCTCCCAAAACCACATATATTTTTGAAAATACAGCAAAGACAACTAACTATTCCTAAAAGACCAGAAGACACAGGACTACAGCCAGACTACATCCACACCTGTGAGAACCCAGCACCTCATGAAGGGGGTAAGATACAAGCCCCAGCCCGGCGGGACCCGAGCACCCCTCACCCCAGATCCTGGCGGGAAGAGAGAAGTCGGAGCGGGGAGGAAGAGGGAGCCCAGGACTGCTAAACACCCAGCCGTAGCCATCCACAACAGAGCGCAGACAGTGCGTGAGTGGGGTGCTGAAAACTAGGGAAACAGGACAGTAAGACCTGTGGGCAGGTCCCCGCTGCTGGCGCCCTGGGGACAAAGAAAAGCGAGTGCTTTTTGAAAGTAGTAAAGGGACAGGGACCCCACAGCTGGATGGAAGTGTCCTGGGACACTTAGCTCAGGAGCTGGGAATCCCGGGGAACTCTGGGCACTCAAACTCCATGGAGAGCAGGGCAGCTTGGGGGCCCCTCATGGAGATAAAAAACTCCCAGGTGTTCCTCTATGACATGACTCTGCCATACCGGAGCAGCAGCCTGTGGCAGGCCACGCTCACAGCCACTGCAGAGCTAAACGCCACAGCAGCCAGGCAAGAATCAGAAGCCCCGTCTGCACACAGCTGCCCAGTACAAGCTGGTAGAGCTCGCTCTTCTCCCAGGAGGGGAAGGCCACAAACCAACAAGAAGTGACGTTCTCCCAGCTGTCACTCACACCAGCTCTGCAAACTATCTCTATCACCATGAAAAGGCAGAATTTGAGGCTGACCAACATCACAGAGTCAACCCCTGAGAAGGAGATAGACCTAACCAGTATTCCTGGAAAAGAATTCAAAATAAAAATCATAAACATGGTGATGGAGCTGCAGAGAAACATACAAGAGCTAAGGGATGACGTCTGGAGGGAGATTACAAAAGTGAAACAATCTCTGGAAGGATTTATAAGGAGAATGGATAAGATGCAAGAGGCCATTGACGGAATACAAACCAGAGAACAGGAACGCATAGAAGCTGAAGAGAGATAAAAGGATCTCCAGGAATGAAACAATATTAAGAGAA